GAGAATTAAAAAATAACAAAATAAGAATAACATAGACAACAAAACAAAGCAAAAACAATAAAAATGATACAGGGTTTCAAAATAGAATGATAAAAATTAACAGTGGTTATTATTTTCAGTGAAGTTGCTCAATTACCAAATGTAAGAATGCAAGATTGATCAAACCATTAATGAGAATAAAAAAGAATTTAAAAAAAAAACATTAGAAACGATACAGAGCTTCGCTAGATAAGATGGTAGGAATTCACCAATGGTTGTTATATTGCATATTGTTGTCTTTAAATTAGTTCTTCAGATTACCAGATATAAGCATGTAAAACTAGTGGAAAAAAATTAAGCATTAATTGTTCCTTTCAATAAACCATTAGACACCAGCAATACAATTAACCCAGCTATCCTTCTATATACATACATACTTTTCCTTTGCTTCTTTCTTTCTTTTTCTTGTTTCCCTCATTGCAATTGTTCCTTCCTTTGAGCAATTTCTTTCCTTTCATAATATCTATTGTACATTTTGGGTTTTTATTTACTCTTTCAGATTCTTACAATAGGGAGACAATATGATGTTTACACATGTGGGTCCAATTTATTTCACTTATGAGTATGGTCACTAGTTGCATCCATTTACGTGCTTCGAGTTTATCTTTTTTATAGTTGAGTAATACTTCATTTTATAAAAATACCACATCTTTTTATCCATTCCTCAGTTGAAGTGCATTTGAGTTGTTTCCAAAGTTTAGCTATGACAAGTTTTGCTGCTATAAACATGGGTGCACATATATCACTGTAGACCTCCCCAATTTATAAACCCAATCAAAAACTGGGCATCTGAAATGAACAGACAGTCCTCAGAAGAAGTAGAAACGGCAAATAAATATATGAAACAAGGTTCAACATTACTGGTCATTTAAGAGATGCAAATTAAAACAGTGCTGAGATTCTATCTCACTCCAGAAAGATGGCTATTATCAAGAAATCAACCAGTAACAAATGCCAAAAAGGAGTATAGCTGGGTCAATTGGATAATCTAGTTTTAGTTTTTTGAGGAACCTCCACACTGATTTCCACAGTGGTTGTGCCAGTCTACACTCCCACCGATGGTGTGCACTCCCAGCAGGATAAACCTGAGATACTTCTAGGTAAATGGATGCACCTTGAAGGCATTTCCTTCAGTGAACACAATGGACACATGTTTAAATGTGACTTTGTTTCTGTGGTGTGAAAGATCAAAATGGTAATTAAGGTCCATAATGTATAATAATCATTGGGAAATATGAAGACAATATTCAAATAGGAAGGGGAACAAGGGACGGGGAGGGGAAAGGCAAGAAGAAAGAGTAAAGAAAAAAGAGAATAGAAGGAAAAAATGGAAGCAAAACTTTGTAAATAAGGAGGGGAAGAGGGGTTGCAGGGAAGGAGTTGGGGGAAAAAAGAAAAATCAAGTTATATTATATACAGTTACAGATACCCTATGACAAATGTGATCCTTATGTATAACTAAAATGTACCCATGAAATCAATTTCTAAAAATAAATTTGCATGTTCTATTTGTAACATTTTACATCAGCTACATTATATTTGTAACTTCAGTACAAAATGTAAGATAATTTGAGTTTTCAAAATTTTAATCTAAAAAAATAAAAAAATAATAATCAATATGTAGTAGCAGGGGAAAATGATTTCTGCATTTTAATTAGCAGATTAAGCTTGGTGCAACTTAGCGCAAAATCCTGAATAAATATTGTAGATACTGCTTCCTCTTTGGGTATTAAAAAAAGTATCTTGGATATACTCTAACCAATATACTCTAACTCAAGGCTTTCCTAAATGACTTTCTGACAAGGTGAGATTGAATACTTATTCTTTTTTATTTTTTTTTCTTTTAATGCAGGGTCTGGCTATGTAGTTCAGCCTGGCCTTGAACTTACTTTGTAGCCCAGGTTGTTCTCGAAATCATGGCAATCCTCCTACCTCTGCCTCCCGAGTGCTGGGATTACAAGTGTGCACCACCAAGCCTGGCTGAATGCTTGCTTTTGAGGTTTTCCAAAATAACCTTGAATATCAACCTTACCTTGGCTTACAGCTTTCTGTTTTCCTGTCTTTCAGCCAATTCTTTTAGTTTTCTTACAGTAAGAAAATGTGTTCAGAAAGTAATGAAACCTAGTGAAAGGAGGCTGATATTTATAAGCCAAGATAGCTCTTAAAAATTGACTACATAAAGGTAAATTTGTTAAAAGTTGACTAAGGTCATACAGAGTTGTCTCACAGAGGAATTGACCCAAATGGTCATAACTAAAGTAAATGATTGCTAGGTTAACAGTAGTTAAGGAAAGCAAATTAAGGTAACAAAGAGATTTCACTTTAGAGCTACAACTGGCAAAAATTTCAGGGACACATATGATCTATTGTGAGCTGGAGTGTAAGAAATTACTCTCTTATGTTGCTGATGGAACCATAAAATGTAGCTTTAAAAGTACTATGGCAGTTCAATTCCCTGTACCAAATAAAATAAAATAAAATAAAATAAAAGTACTGTGGTAACAAGTACTGAAACTTAAATTTCATATGTGCTTTAAGCCATAAACTCCAATCTCATAGAAATGAAATTTTCTTTATAATGGCCAATATATAAGGATACTTTACCCAGGCATCTTTAATGCCTGCACTTGAATCAGATGAACACTCACTTGGAGGCAAGTGAGTGAATACTTACAGGGTATTGACCCATGAAGTATTTGCTACCTGAGACATTTGAAATATGTTTTCATTTGGTAGACAAGAGACAGTGTGTTTTAAAATCCAATTTTGTTAAAACCATGACAAAGTACTTTCCATATGTTGTGTTTAAACACATGAAGATATATTTAATTATATGGTATATAATTGTGGAGAAGGTGTGAAGTAAATATTACCTATTAAGTAATCAAGTACATATTAATGTTAACATGAATAATTGTGAAGGGTAGCTGAAGAGAGTGGAGAAGAGAGGACATGGGCATGCAGGCAAAAAAGAAAGATATCAAACAGAAAGTGTGTGTGATTGAATTTTGCAATTATTAAAAACAATACAGTTTTTTAGTTTATTTCTTGTTAGTATGTCTATGTGATGCATAATTACATTCATCTTGGGAAACTGGTAATGAACCCACTGCATCTTAATCTTTTTTACTTCCCTTTCACTTTCATACCATCCCATCTATCCCCAGTCACATCCCCATATAACTAATTTTCTTCATATAAAAGGAAATTAAATAAATTTAATAAAACATATTAAATTACACAGACAGCAAACAACAGACCACACAAAATAATCACTTAAAATGCCAACGAGAACACATTACAATTTCTAACTGAATAATTAGTGATGGTTCCATATAGGAGAGGAAGAATAACTAACATCAAAGTATTGGTTTCTACATGTAAAAAATTCAGTGCTTCCCCATAAGTGGATAGTTATGACATATCCAACCACTGGATAGGAAAATGCTGAACTTTACAGCAGCAGTAAAAGTGGACATATGCCCAATGGACATTGGAAATTTTTGTAACTTGTTACCTGCTTTTTGACCTTTCATTGCAAATCTTGCAGGAGTTAGTAGTGATTGTCTAATGTTGGGAGCAGATGAAGCTGAAAACACTTCAGTCCTGAGGAAAACATCTTGCCTGAGACAATTCCTTCCAGTAGTCACTAGGCAACCCTGTGTCTCATGTTATCAACTTTGAAAACATATAAATAAATGCCCCTACGATGATTGTGCAGTCGTTTCCCATCCAGAAAAGAGGATACTTCACCTTACCTCAGCTTTCACCTCATCTATATTTTCTAAATCTCCATGCCATTTTTCCCTGGGATTATTGAGAGCTGCGCCAGTTCATGGTAGACTAATATAGTTTGCTTTTCACACCTTTCTTCTATGCTACAGTTAAAATCACAAACAAAATTATGTAGCCTAATAATGTTTTAATTTAAAGTCTTGATGGCTAGGGATATAGCTCAGGGACATAAGCGCCTACCTTGGCAAATGGGAGGTCCTGAGTTCCATTCCCGATACCCCTCAAAAGTGTTTATAATGGAAAGCACATTCTTAAAAGAGATACATGATGCGAAGAAAAATTTTATTACTGATAGATCTTGGAGAGCACCCTGCATACCAGGAGACCATTCCTGGAGGCCTCTCAATAGTCAGAGACAATGAGAGCAAAAGGGAGCGTGGGAGGGAGACAGAGGGTAGAAAGGAGGGAGAGAGAGACAGAGGAGAGACAGAAAGAGACAAAGAGAGACAGAGAGACTCTTTTTGTGGTCCAGATGTTAGTGAAAAAGATATTTCCAGGAGAAGTATAATTGGTGGTTTTAAAGCAAGAAGACACAAGTTGCAGACACTGTGCCTGAGAAGTGATTACTGTGACATACGCCAGTCCACTGCAGAGAGAGGGTCAGTATCTCGCTGCACCATAGGGAAGTGGCCACTAGGGAAGCAGTTGCCCAAGGCAGACACTTTTTGGATTAGCCCTATCAAGTTGCTGGGCAGAGGTGCCAAACTGGACTTGTGTCAAAGGTAACGCAGCATGGCTTCCGAGATGGAAAAGCTGAACTTGTATTTAAAATGGATGTCAAGGAAACATCAACAGAGTGTAAAAATCCACTATACACAAACAAACCAAAATCAAGTTAAACCCAGTCTTAAATGTTAGAAAAAAAATGACAATATTATATTGCTTATAATTGCCTCAAATGTGAAAATCTGGCCATCTACATATCTTTCAGGAAAAATGGGTCTGATATAGAAATTCAGAATTTATCCAGACAATATACTTGATAGTTGGAGAACATAGACTATCCTGATATTTATATAATAAGGTTATCATTTCTGGAATTAAAAATTAGGATTTTGTTTTGTTTGAGACAGGGTTTTTCTATGTAGTACAGGCTGGCATGAACTCACTTATGCAGCCCAGGCTGGCCTCAAACTGTTGATCCTCCTTCCTCAGCCTCCCAAATTCTGGGATTACAGGCATGCACCACCATGCCCAGCATACAGTTAGGATATCTTGATAAAAGAACACACATAATATTCTATATGCTAATTTCTCATCCCTAATCCTTAAAGAAAGCAAGTTTTCTGAGAAGTTTCCATACATTCTTTCTTTCTCTCCTTCCCTGTATGAATATAGCAATGGGTTATAGTGCAGATGAAGTGTTGCTAGGTTCCCAAGACTTGTATGACTGGGAAAATAGTACAAAAACCAGCACTACATTTGGCATTTATATACAATGAAGTACCACTCTGCCATAAAGAAGGATACATTTGAGTCACTGGTAGGAAAATAGCTGCACCTGAGACCATAATGTTAAGTGAAATAAATCGATATTGACATTTTTTAGCAATGCAGACATTACACAGTCTGGGCAAGGCTCCCATCTTACCTCTCCAGCTGTGTAACCCTAGGCCTCAGAAATAAGCAATATGGTTTCATTACCTGACTGATTGCCCTCAAGGGGAATGTTATTTTGAAGGATGCACCAACCTCCATAAGGAATTACTAAATAAATTACAATCAAGCACGTTTGCCTAAATGGTTTAATTTTCTCTTTTAACTCGGGCCTTGGTCTTATTAAGTTCTAGAATGCTGGGTCTAAAAAGAACATTTACCTACTTTTGAAGCCACCATGTTTCCCCTTATCAATTTTTAAATTTTAAGTAATACTTAAAAGGATTAAATATTCACCCAGACATTATTTCTATATTTAACCCTCATCCACTTCTTCCTTCTACTCTAAAGTTTTTATCATTTCATCTTCTCTCAAGGACAGGTGACATGTGACAACCTATGTGCCAATGATGATACGATGCTCCGAGGCACTCCCACTGAACCTAATATGGGCCCCTCTGGAAGACCATACTTTGCATTTTCTGGCATCAAATTTTTTCCAGTATTCACAGTACATAAAAGCTGATAAAACCAAATACCCATTCTATGTGCTCTCTTGCAGCACATAGGAATAATAAATAATAAAGCCTAAATATTACATAGGTTCTCTTACATGAGAAAACCAAAGCATAGACAACATAAAGAACCCAATAAAAAACTATAGATAATAGGAAACAGGGAGACAGAACTTTTGCAAAAGGGAAGGGGACTAAGAGAAGATGGGAGGGGGAGAGGGAAGGGAAGAAGTACAAAGAATTGAGATGTGTTAAGTATATGAATCAACTCCCCATGAGGAATGTAGTCATTGTGTGTTGCAAGTATGTACTGAAAAAAAAATTTTAAGTAATTAAATCACTGGGCATCATTAAGGTACTAAGTTGCCAATGCAGTATAAAGAATCTTTTTGGTCCCATGGGACAGAATATGGGTTGCTGGTATCTTGCCCCAGAGCAGCTAAGGGCAGTATGAGTGGCTTTAGCTGTAGGGAGACCAAAAACCCTATGGAATTGATATACGGGAAAGAAATTCCCAACCTACTAGATATTTGGTAAGAGTTCATGTTCTCTAAAATCGAAGAATGAATTTTAGGAATAACGGATGTTAAAAGCAGAATATATCTATTGGAGGAAAGAAAGCTTCTGTCTGAGAGAGAAACAGAAAGGGCCCCAAGTGGGTGGATAAGGACCTTGCCTTTTCCAGGGATTTTTATAGAGCGAATCAAGGACATGAGGCAGATCCAAGGTGGGAAAAATGGGAACTTGTAAGGTAGACAGGAGGTGGGACAAAAGCTACGGTCAACCAATAAGATTACAAGTACAATTGCTCAGGTAAAATTGATTAAATCAGGATCAAATGGGGAAGCCAGTCATGTAGTAAGCAGGCATGAATGCAGATAAGGGCTTTTCCTGTAGGGGGATGGGTTAGTGGCTCTCTCTGGCTTTCTCAGGGTGATAGAGACCTATTTATAATATCAATCCCTGATGTTTATCCTTAGGGAAGTATGTGGGTGCATTTGTTTCATCCTTTGACTGGAGGTCTGGCCCTCAGTGGAGGTGCCTTGTCTTCCCCCACAGTTGCAAGGCATCTCTTCTGCTGCACCGGCTCCTTGAAGGGTCTAGCTCTATCTATCTATAATATTTCTATCTAATTTAGCTGCCCATAACAGAATCAATAACAAGGTTCTGCAGTATCAGTTGAGCACAAATTAGAAAGGACTTTGTCACAACCACCTAGAGTTTTCGTTCATCTTGGAATTTGGAGAGACCTCTCCTGAAGTTTTAAGGGGGATAAGGGATAAAACATTCTTTTCTCTTTATGTATCCACTTCCTGCTTTGAGCCAGTAGTCTGCATGTATGTGTGCCCTAACAGGCCTACAGACGAAGACTAACAAGGTAAGCAACCACACAGGGGCGGCTGGACCTGAAAACACAGAGAACACATAAAATTCCAGGAAGATGGAGTCCCTACTGTTAATCAGAATCTTCTGGCTTTTGATTCTCCTGGATGGCTGTGGCAAAATGTTATCAGGTGGCCTGCTTCTAAAAGTGGCTCACTAATTAAGCATTACTGGGTTCTGGGACATTGGAGTAAGAGATAAAGTAATTCAAATTAGCAGTCTTCAGGCGTCTCCTGTTGTAAGTGAAAGGATATTAAAAATACCACCTGAGGGTGAAAACTGCAGCGCAAAGGTCTCCTTAAAGAACGAGACATAGTGCTTCAGCTTCCTGCAATTTAGTGTAGCTTTAGCGGCGCCCACTGTCCACTCTGATAATCCCTGTGGGGACAGATCTGGAGTGGAAAACCAGGAGAAGCTATTTTTATTTCAAAGGTTTCAGAAACACTGCACGCCTTCTCTGTATTTTATCAGTCATTGCCAGGGGTCAGAGCATACATCTATTCTACAGAGCAATCAGTGCACACGACCTTTTGGCGTGGGTACCAAAGGTAGCGAAAATTACTTGGGTTGGGGTGAGGCTCGCACTGCTCGGTGAGGTGCAGCGCCCCCACCCTCGTTCCTGCGCCCGGGCGCTTCCTTGCGCCCCACTGCGGACGGCGGGGCCCGACGCCCCGCCCCACTTCCCCCAGCCCGGGGAAGCGGCTGTCGCGGGAGCCTGTCGGGGCGGGGCAGACCACCCGGGAGCGGGGCTGTCGGCGGCGCTCGAAGCTCTCGGGACCCATGAACCTCTGCCCCGAACCCCGCGCGGCTCCGCAGCCCCGAACCGAATCGAAGCGAAAGGACCGGGGTCTCCTGGCGCTCCAGCGCCCCGCCGCGCCACTCCTGATGCCAGACAGGCGCCCGAGCCCCGCGCCCCCTCCACGCTGGAAACCCGCCGGCACCGCCGAGCCCTCCTCCTTGGGGACCCCGGAGCCCGCGCCCTGGGCGCCTTTTCCTCCCGCCTTTGCCTCTTGTGCTGTGTATTAAAACTCTTAAAGAGGTGGGAGAGGAGAAATACCTACCTGTTCTCTAAGACCATTCCACGGCGCCGAGGCGTGCGAAGCGGGGAGGCTCGCAGGGTGCGGAGAGAGGGACAGACCCCCAGGCGGCTGTCAGGGTTTGTCCTCTGGCAGGCTGGCCCTGTTTACACTTGGAATCAATGAAACGCGTGCGAGTCTTTAAAAAGGAAGACATCCACTCGCGCGCACTAAACAGCAGCAATCTGCGGGGTTTTAGCGCGCGTCACTGCCCTGGAAAATGTGCGAAGTGACTGGCACTGCAGCAAAAGCGTGGAGTCTGGTTACCGATTCCTTTGTGCTGCTCGGTATCTGCTAGGGGGAGATCCATGACTGCGGAGCCCAAAGCTGGGAGAGGAAAAGAGGAGCTCGACCTCCGCAACCCCCGATTTACTGGGAAGGAAGCCTGCGCAGAAACAGCTGGAGGAGTCGGGGCTGCGACATCACCCTCGCCTCAGCGTGCCACGGAAAAGAAAGAAGAACTTCATGTTTAAGATGTGTAGAGTTGGCTTTAAAAAGGTGTGAAAAGAAGAGAATGAGAAATAAGATACAGTACAGTGCATGCATAGATGTGTCAATCTCCTTCCCGTCACACATTTGGTACAGTTTTCAAGGGCAAGCTAGAAACCGGTGGTAGACTAAGTACAGTACTTAAATTTTGTTACAGAAATTGGATAAAGAGAAACTGGATAAAGAGTTTAAGTGACATAAAAGTGAGATGTGCAGCTTTCTAGGTAAAGTTTCTCCTATTCGTAAGGAAATGTCACTCTGAAACAAAATGAAGCTTAAAAAGACACAATGTTTAAAAAGTAACATAAACATGAAGAAATTCTCAAATTGTTTATCATTAGGAGGAAGCCACCGGAAGAGAGGATGTTTGTCCTAGTAATTTTACTCTACTTTTCCCACTGGATCTCTAGGAATGCTTATTAAATTCTTACGGTATACCGTAGTGTACTCAAGTCTATCCGCATAGTTGTGACCCTTCTCGAATACCGAAGTCAGAAATGTCAGATATATGAATATCTGGACTGAAAACGACAACGCTTACTTTTAGGTAGCATTGACAACACCTGACAGCTCCTAGCTAGGGCTGCTCGCCGCGCCCGCGGAGTTCTCGGATTGGATGCTCTTGTCCGCCGTCCAGTGACGTCACGCGGGGAGGTAGCGTCGCCGAGAGGGGACGGGAGGAAGAAACGCAGCACCGCGCCCGCGGAGTTCTCGGATTGGACGCTCTTGCCCGCCGTCCGGTGACGTCACGCGGGGAGGTAGCGTCGCCGGGGCGGGGGAGGGAGGCCGTTGTCGGGGCGACGCGTGTACACAAAGAAGCTACGAGCTTCTGAGGCAAGTCGTTGGACCAACTGCGGGCTGGGGTCCCCGGGACCCGCGGGCTGGTGCAGGGCGGAGAGCGGCTATAGGCGCCATGAGCCAGAGGCAGGTGCTGCAAGGTAGGGCCCGCGGCAGGAGGACGGGCGGCGCCCGAGGGGCTGGCGGCGGGCGCCCTACCCAGCGAGCCTCCCTCCGCAGGGCTGGAGGAGTACCAGAAAGCCAGGCTGCAGTTCGTGCAGAAGGTGGCGGAGCAGGCGACCAGGCCCCAGAACATCGAGACGCTGCAGAACGCGGGTGAGCCTCACTGAGCGGCGCCCCCACCCGGACCTCGCCTCGGCCCCACCACCCGGCGCCGGCCGGGCCTCAGCCTCTCCTCGGCGCTGGGGGGCGGCACCCCCAGTTCCCGCAACCCACCAAAGCTTGGAGAAGCGTTCGGTTTCGGTCTGCAGGGCTGGGGCCGCGAGAGCCAAGCTTGCAGATGGACGGGAGCCCCTTGCCGTCTGCAGTGGCGTGGGGCACGTTGTCAGGTTGAGTCCAGGCCCCTGGAGTCAATTTCCTGGATGGGAATCTCCTTTGATTAGGCTGATTTTTGCGGGTGCTAAGGCTTGTCACCCTGCCTTTAATCACTTTCTGTTTCCTCACAGCAAAGAATTCCAGACTGGTTTACAGTGTTTCTTGTCTTGGATTAGTGAAAGGGACATGATATGCTTTTCCAAGAGATTCGAAGTAGGTAAAAATGAAAACGTGGCTTAGTGCAATCTTTAGAGCGCTTTCTACCCCTCAGTCCGAACTCAGTCTCCCTTCCACCCTCCTCTTCACTTTTCCTTTCCCTCTTTCTCCCTCTACAATTTCTTTTTTTTATTAAAGATTTCTTCACCACCATCTGAACTGTAAGGTAGCAAGGTAGCAGTTTATCATTGCTACGTATAAGAAAACGTCAATTGGAAGGATAGGATCTTTAGACTATTGTAAATGAACACATCATTAAAAATAGAGAACCTTTTGACAGAGGAAGAATATTTAGTCCTAACGTTTACTTTGGATTTCTTGGAGAGGAGTTGCTACTGCACCCAAGTGGTAATTTTTTGTGTGTCTGAGATCTTGGTGTTTTTTGAGGTGTTTTTTTTTTTTTTCTGGTATCGGGAATCAAACTCACGACCTCGTGCTTGCCAAGCAGGCGCTGTGCGGCTGAGCTAAATCCCCACGCCCTAGTTTTTTGAATTTTTGTTCTCTTTTGTTTTGAGGGGAGATAATATATTTAACGTGGAGAAAGTGTAATTGTTTTATTCTCTAAAAAAATTCTTTTCTGTTTGACATACTTTAGATTTACATGAAATTGTAAGAAATAATATAGAGAGATGCCTGGGACCTTTGTTTAGTTTCTCTGAATGATAACTTCTTATGAGACTGTAATATCAGAACCAGGATGATGACATTGATAAAAACTCATAGATTTTACTCAGGTTTCCCTAGTAACGTTGTGTGTGTGTGATTCTGTACAATTTTATCTCATGTGTGTACCATCACCATAATCAAGATGCACACTTTGATCTTTACAAGGATTCTTCGTATCACTCATCCCACTGCTGTCCCTAACTATGAGCAATCACCAGTCCCTTAAAAATGATCCGTTCTAAAAAAGTTATTTCAGAATTGATAATCTTCTGTAGTCGTTTTCATGTAAATTGTTTTTATTCTCTGTGATGTGTGTGTATGTTTATGCACTTACATCCTTCAGTACCCAGAACAACACTTTGCATGTAGTGTTTCATATACACAAAGTAATTTCATTAAGGCATTTTACATTTTAAAATACACTTTTACAAGTTTTTTTATTTCTTTGAGTTATACTCAGTGGCCTTTGTGAGTGGATACTTTTTATACACAAAGATTTACTTTCTAGACTATATATATATATATATATATATATATATATATATAGGCAAACTAAAACATTCTTTCAAATGGGTAAATGATATTATTTTAGAAATTTAAAAATGACATATGCAAACATATAAAACTTAAGGAACAGAATATCACCTTTTAGTAGAGTGCACTGTAGACTATGGAATTCCTTGAGGATCAGATTTTGCTGTGTTCCCCAGCCTGGCCTCGTTAGGCTCAAGTGATCCCCTCTCCCTCAGTCTCCTGAATAGCTAGTACTTACACATATGCACCACTGCACACTGCTTACATTGTGGAATTTAACTAGCAAGCTGAGTGATCACCAAAGTTGTAAGGAATTTAGATTTGACCTTCTACTCTCATAGTCTGGCATGTGAAGAAATGGAATACAAAAAGAATATAACAGTGTTTTGAAATGATCTATTTTTGTCTGTTATTTTAATGACATACTAAGCCTGTTTTTCTCACGAACTTATTTTGAATATATTTTATGTTACATAGATTTGATTTAAGCATCTCTTTAGTTGCTTTAGAGACTAATCATGCATATCGCAATACATTTATTCTTTTAATTAAACAATGACTTGTAAACATTGTTATGAAAATTTTTCTTTCTTAGTCACTGAATTTGACCATTCAAATAATTTATGCTTAACAAAACACCATTGATTTAAAAATACTTTTGAATGAACCACAATATGTGTTTAACAATTATATATTGCAGGGCTGGGGATTTAGCTCAGCGGCAAAAGCGCCTGCCTTGCAAGCGCAAGTTTGTGAGTTCGGTTTCCAGTTCCGGAGAAAAAAACCAAAAAAGAAAAAAAAACCCCCAAAAACCAACAATTATATATTGCAATTACTTTATTCGGGTGAATGCTTTCATTTTGGTAGTGACTTTGCAATACATTTTACTACTATCTTTGACATATTGTCTATATATTTAGGAAGATTTTGTTATCTCCCTTTCCCCCTAGTACACTGTTAGTAATCATGTATTATGGATCCAGGGTAATGTGAAAAATAATTTCCAAATAGGCATCTTGGTCAACCAGTAGTTCTCTTGCTAAGAATTTTGAATCATTGTATGTGAAAGGAATATTAAAGGTGAAGATTATAAGTGGATTTTTATTGTATTTTAAATCTAATGTTTCTTGTTGTATTTTTGAGGTGCTGAAATTGGCTTACTTGATGTATCCAAAGTAATCAAAGTGTTGCAAGATCTCTTTAGAATATTTAAAGAATATTTAGAATATTTTATTTATTAAAGTAATAATAAAATATTTAGGATATTTAAATTTGTTTTTTTTAGTAAAAATTGCTACTAATGAGAACTATGTACAAAGTGTCTGTAACCTTAAGGGTTTTTTTCTTAAATGAGAAATGATGAATGAGAATTGTTTTATTTCTTATAAATCAAATGAAAACATGCAAAAACATTAAAAATTTGAATGTTTATTATAACATCTTCTTATGTACTCTCAAACCCTGTAGGTTTGAACAATTACATCTTGCAGCTATTTAAAAATTAATTTTGATACTTCCTCTGAAAAATCAGCAACACATGACTATAATAGTAAAGATAATACATTGCTTTACAAATTGTAGAATTTCAGCAATTGGAGGTAGTTGGTTAGTTATAAAATTTAAGAAATATGTTTTATGGCATTTGGGAATACGAAGTGATAATAAAAGCTCCAAGAAAATAGTTTTTAAACTGGTTAACTACATAAAATAAACTTCTAAATGATTTATTTTTGTAAGTGGGGATAAAGTTCTGTAATATTCTACATACAATTTATAGTAAAATGTGGCAAGACAGTACTTATGTCTATTTTCCAAAAAGTAAAGGTAAAGAACTTTACATAACACTTTAAATAGACAGCTGTATGAGACTATTTTGCTAATTGAGGCAGTTGAATAGGTTCAGGATTCGAGAAAATAAGTAATATATGGTATATAATTTTAAATAATGTGTGTGAAACTGAGTGAAAATCTTCAGATTATTTAGTACTTCAGGCTATGAGAAGGAAAACTTCTTATTACCTGTCATAATGTTGTTAAAACAGTACATAATTGAATTTTTTCTTTTTACTTTTGTACTGGGAATCAAAGTTAGGACCTTGTGCTTACCAGGCAGGCACTTGTGCCATTGAGCTATATCCCAGCCCCAAAACAATTGCATGTGCTGTAATTTTACAGAAAACTGTGGTTCTAAAGGTTAGTGCAACAGAAAAGACAATTAGCAGAATGATTTCAAAATATGTAACCAAGCTATTTAAATTTGATGTATTTTTTAATATAGAAAGAATTTATCACTTTGAGAGGCTGAGGCAGGAGGATCACAAGTCAAACCTAGCCTGGGCAACTTAGCAACATACTGAGTGAGACGCCTCTCAAAAAATGAACAGGGCTAGGGATAAAGTTCAGTGTGAAGGCTCTGGGTTTAATTTCTTGTACCACATACACACAAATCCACACAAGAGCTTAAAGCTGTGAGTATAAAAAGCACTGACATTTTCATAAATATGGATGGAGAAATCTGTTACATATGCTTAAGTGGAAAATATGCCAGGAAGTTATAAAAATTCTGGATTTGTATGTACCTAACAATTTAGGACATATTTACCCTGAAATCAAAAGATTACTCAGAGTTTTATTCTGTGCTCCAAATCACTATTATATGGGCATTTATGTGTTTTATTATCAAAGCATTGGGACATAGAAGAAGATAGTAGACTGAAGGCAAAAAGTCTCAGTGTTTTCTTAGAAAAAACTGAAAAATTTTTTAAAAATAATGTGTAAATGAACCTCTAAGAGGGTGTGACTTAGACATGGCAAACATTTCAGGGTTAAAATTTAATGGTATAGATTAAATTTTTGTTTTTTGCAAAAATGTTTGAATAACTAAGTATTGTACAATTCCACACTACATTTTTAAGTTGTTTAAAAGCCTTTGTTTTTCTGCTTGGAAATTTTCCTAGTTTTCTTTTTCTAATTAATTTCTATTCATTCTTTATGGCTGTTTACATGTTGAATCCTTAGGAAAGCCTTCCCTGAGTTCTTACAGTCAGTTAAGTGTCTTAATTTATATTTGTCTGGCTCTTAGTATTTCTCCTTTATAGTACTCATGGTACTTATCAATTACTTAGTTCTGTTTTCCCCAGTCCTCATAAATTCCATGCCTACCATAATTTTTTCTCTCTTGATTTAATCATATTTTCATGAGTGAATGTTCTGTCTAATCTTGGTTAGCTTCAATATTCCCTTGCTCACTCCTTCATTCTTTCTCTTCCACCCTCTTCTTTAGTTTTCCGAAGCTTCTGTGATCATTTTTTTATCTTCCAGCCATACTTTTACTGTATTTTTCATTTATCTCTGTTTTATCCACTATCCCTCTTAAATTTCCCCACATAATGTATAACCATTGTACCAAGGGAAGCACTTTGCATAAAAGCTTCCAATTTATGATGGGTTTTGTTATATAACTAGATCCTGCTCCTGTGGTTAAAAGTACCAAATTAGTATTTACCACAGTTTGTCAGTCTCTAAGCTGTGCTTGATGGTATTGTTATTACTAATTGTACTACTTTAGCTAGGATGTCATATCTATTGTAATCAGTTGTCTTCCTTGTATAATACTACTGGGAAGTTCTGGAGTAATAAGCATCATCATTGCCCAGCACCAAAAGACTGAGGACTGAGGCAAACAGATACCAACATCTCACCCTTAATAAATTGGGAAAGTAGGATCTTGGATGAGACGCAAAACCAAGAACCTCCTACATATAGTAGATTCCTGAGGAACACATTGCTAGGAAGGCCGTGATGCTAGTGATAAAGTTATATACTATGAAAACTCAACAGTATTCAACACAGAAAACAAAATAAAAATTTTAAAAATAGAAAAGCAAAATGCTTTTCTGAAATGAATTTCTGAAATGACAGCAACAGAAGGAAAGAGACAAATCCATGAGGTTATAGAGGAAATCACATGAAAATAATCTCTCAGGTAAAAAAAGAAATGACAACTATAATGAAGAACTTTCTCAGCAAATCTAGAATAGACACAGATTTTTAAAAAAATAGAGGAGCATAGGAAAGTGATGGAAACCATGAATGCCCAACATAGAAAACAAATGGAATGCATGAAACATATTCAAATGTATCCAGGAAATTAAAAATTCCATTGAAAATCTGCAAAACTGTGTAAATGAAAGTGAAGAAAGACTGTGAGACCTTGAAAACAGGATCAAGGCCAGTGATCACAAAAGGAAAGATCTCTTCAAGATAACAAGGGATTAGGAAAAAATCATTCAACAGCTGCAAGAAGGTGCAAAGAACACTAGAATTGGCATTAATGACAAGCAAGAGTCAGGACAAATGACATAAAAGACTACTTGCAGAAGTAATAGAAAAATTCCCAAGCAGAGGAAAAGGATCTGACATACAGATACATGAAGCATATAGAACTGCATTTAGATATGACCAAAATAAATCTACACATAGGCATACAATAATCAAGATCCCAGAAATTCAGTACAAAAACAGAATATAAAAAACTGTTAGAGGAAAGAAACAAATTACCCATAAAGGAAAGTCTATTAGAATCACAGCAGACCTCTCAACAGAAATCTTGAAGTCAAGGAGAGCTTGGAGTGAAGTGTTTCAAATCCTGAAAGAAAACAACTTCCCACCCAGACTGATGTTCCCTGCAAAAGTATTTTTTAAAATTGATGGAGAAATAAGATACTAGCAAACAGAATGCAGCAATTAGTGAAGAAGATTATACACCATGAAGTATGATTCATCCCAAGAATGCAGAGATGTTTCAACATACACAAATAAATAAATATAACACATGATATTGAGAGCCAAGGACAAAAATCACATGATCATCTCAATAGATGCAGGAAAACCATTTAACAAAGTCCAAAACTCATTCATGATAAAAACCCTACAGAGAATTGTAATAGATGGTCTTTACCTCAATCTAATAAAAGCCATCTATGACAAACCGACAGCCAACATTATACTAAATAGAAAAACAATGAAAGCTTTCACTCCAAAATCAGGAAGAAGAAAAGGATAAAGCTTTAAAACTTTTAAGTTTTTGATATGAGAAGATGGAGAGAGTAGTACAAAGGATGCTATCGGCAAGTAGAAAGATACAGAATTAAGTAAAGGTAAGAGAAAAACTGACAAAAAATAAAAGATAAAAAGAAAGGAAATTGTATTGAGCAAAAATAAATAAACAGAAAAGTTAGAAGGGAAAAGAGGAAAAATAGAGGGGAAAAAAAGAAAAAGAAGAGGCAAGGCAGAAGGACAAAGGAAGATTTCGCAAGTCCCAGAAAAAGCAGAAAAAAGGAAAATAAAAAAAAAAACTGAACACAATGTTAACACTAACAAAAAAAAAAAAAAAAAAAAAAAAAAAAAAAAAAAAACAACCAAACATAAAGAACAACAAGAAGAAGTTTCTCTGTGATTCCAAATGTGTAGTTTTCTTCTAAGGTCTACGGTTTTGAGTCAGTGTCAAATTCAAGATGTATCCCTGCTGTCACTGGTAGAAAAAGGCAATCAGAACCAGAATCCATGCTGAATGCAGTTATCAGCAAGCAGCAAGTAGGATTAGGATGGATGCCAGTTCTGGGACTCTCAAATCCACTTGAATTCAGGCTGCCCCTGGCCTCTGGCCATGAGAGTGAGGACTAGGTCTTTTATCTTAAACCATTTTGGGTGTCTCCTGAAATTCCTCTGGTGTCCACAGTTCTGTGGTATTGTCCAAGTCAGAGACCAAAGCTTTCCTTGGTAACCCCACCAAGTCCGCAGTGGGATTCCTGCTGGATGAGGGGCTGATCATGGCCTCTGGATGTGGGCATTGGGGCCAGTCTTCAGCCAGCAGTTTTTAGATGTCCCTTGGTCTTTGTTATGGTTTGTGTCTGTGTGTCCCCTCAAAGCCTCATACGGCCATGGGACAGGCTTTTAGAGTTTGATTGATTATGGGTGTGAGAGCTACACCCACCCTGGGGTGGATGGTTTGCATGTATAAGGGAGAGCAAGAGGCTGCTTGCGGCCATTCCTGGCTTTTTGTGCTTGTTGCTTTTGCTGTGTTCTGCTGCCATGAGCTGTAGCCCTCCACCATGTGCCACTCTGCCTTGTAACCTGCCAAGTATGGACTAAAACCTCCACAAACTGTAAGCGAAATAAACCTTTCCTTCCTTAATTTTAGGAGTCAGGTATTTTGTCCCAGCAATGAGAGAAAAGTAACCAAGACAGTCTCCTGCCCTCATCTTACCATGTTCATCTCTGCATTGATCTTAGTTGCTGTGGTGCTCTCAGACAGACAGCCCAACCTTGCTCCCGGTCCTGCGGCCCCTCCTGGTCCTTGCACAGCCTCCTGAGTTCCACACCCAGTGCACATCTCCTCTCTCTCTGATGGTCACAGGGAGGATGGACGTGTCACTGGCAGACTCACTGACCTTGACACCGCTGTGAAAGCCCAAGGCTGCTCAGTCTCTTCTCTCTCATTGAGAAAGAAAGCCACACTACATCAGTCCATCAGTTTTTTTTTAAACATCCCACAGTGGCATTTACTACCCTGCATGCAGGTTGCAGTTGTATAAATCACTTAACCTTTCTCAGCCTCAATTTCTTCATCTGTAAAATAGGTACAGTAATAGAGTCAACTTCATCATTTAGCTGCGAAAGTTAAGTGAATATAGGAAAAATTCCACAGAACAGTGCTTAGATACGATAAATGCTTGATAAATATGTTACTTCTCTTATTGTTATAGTCCTCTTACATTATCAATTCTAGGATGAATATTATAAGAGGTAGTAATACAGTATACTTCCTTATCTCAAGGAATTTATTTGGAATAATATTCATGCAGCCTTTTCTGAGTGTGAGTCCCTAGCTGAATGGCCCTCCTAGCTTTCTTGGCCCTGAGAGAGATCATGATAAAATTTCTGAAATAAATTGTATTTTCAGTTGGAATCAGAGAGAAAACCATTTTTAAGACTTCATTGAGAAGAAAGGAGAATAAGCCTTAAAGGGATTTGCAAATCCTCGTAGGAAGACCTAACCTGCCCCCTTTCCTGCTGGCCAGAGTCTAGGCATTATTACACATGCTCTACCTCCTCTGCATTCCTCCTTAAAACTCTGTGAGGTCACATAGCTATTTACTTGCTGAATCAGAACTTTTAACTCTTTGCTACTTCCAAAGAGTTTCTTATTTCCATGCTGTGTTACCTGTTTGATAATTACAGCTTGTATGATTTTATATCTTCATCTATTCGATGCTTTGAATAGCCTATTAGATTTTAGTGGAAATTTTTGTTTTTACTGACTTTTATCCTTACTTTTTTGGTTTATAAATATACACCGAATTATGTGTTTGCTTTTTAATGTAAATTTTGCTGATTTCCGTTTTTTAAAATTTATCTCAGGTGTAATATCTTTGCTGAGGCCTCTTCTTCTCGATGTGGTCCCAACAATTCAACAGACTGCTGCTTTGGCTCTTGGGAGACTGGCCAATTACAGCGATGACTTAGCAGAAGCAGTTGTAAAGGGGGACATCCTTCCACAACTTGTTTATTCATTGGCAGAGCAGAATGTAAGATTTTAAACAAAAAACTTACACAGTTTTAGATTTTTAAAAAAATGCTAGTTTGTGCATAGTCATAAACTTGTAGGCTTTATAATGGTTAGAACGTTAATATAACCTGAAATTCTCTGAACTATGTGTAATATCTTTAGGGCATTTTGTGTTGGGGATGATATGCAGTGTCTCTTATTAATGTGAAGAGATAATTAATTTAAATATTTTTAGGGAATTGTAAACTAAGCAGATTTTTGTATATGAGAATTTTGAAGAGTTACGGAATCAGTCTTAGGGAAGACTGTAGGGTCTTAGGCAAACAAATAGTTGCTTTCAGCAATCTTACATGCAAGTGAATTCTGGTACTATATCCAAAGACAGCCTTGAATCAAGGGCAGAGAAACAACTAAAAGGGAGAAAATGTGCTTAGTGGAAGATTTGATAAAGCAGTTTTTACTAAGTAAACAAGCATGTCTACACTATTTGACACTGTCTATAGGAACCCCAATGTGTTCCCTTCTTTTTTTTTTTTTTTTTTGGTTTTGGTTTTTCTCCGGTACCGGGAACCGAACTCACGACCTTGCGCTTGCCAGGCAGGCGCTTTGCCGCTGAGCTATATCCCCAGCCCCCAGTGTTCCCTTCTTATATGGTGTTATTCTACATTTCTATATAGTGCCACTTTTGATTAAGAATGCTTTTAGATAGGGTCATGGACTGTTGTTTCTACCCAGCTAGTTTGTCATAACATCCTAGCAACTCAGAGGTTGAGACATGAAAATCACAAGCTCAAGGCCAAAGTGGGCAACTTAGTGAGACCTTGTCTCAAAATAAAAATAACAAGGGGTGGAGAAGTACCTCAGTGGTAGAATGCTTGACCAGCATGCACAGAACTCCTTTAAATTCTCAGTCCTGCAAAAAAACAAGCACACAAAAACAACTTGTATGCAAATATTCAAAGCAGCATTACTTACAGTAGCCAGAAGGTTAAAGGAATGTAAATCCATCCTCAGATGAGTGAATGAACAAAGCATTGTATATCTATACAATAAACTATTATGCAGTCATAAAAAGGAGTAATGTGTTGATAAATGCTACAACATGGAAGACTCTTAGAAACCAGCCAAGCGAAAGACCCAAAATATGAAGACCTATGTTGTAGGATACTGTTTAGATGAAATATGCAGAATATGAAAATCCATACAGACAGAAGCAGATTGGTGATTGTTCTGGGGGAAAGAACTGGAATAGAGAGACTGCCTAATTTATAAGGGGTTTTTGGTGAGGTGATGAAAACATACTGGAACTAGATAGTGGTGATGTTTGTACAACATTACAAATGCATTACATACCATTGAGTTATGCACTTTATATATTTGGTCTTTTTGAGACAGGGTTTCACTATGCAGTTCAGGCTGCCCCGAAACTCACTTTGTAACCCAGGCTGGCCTTGAATTGCAACAATCCTCCTGCCTTAGCCTCCCAAGTACTGGGATTATAGGCATGTACCACTACGTTTGTGATACATGCATTTTGCCAGAATTTAAGAAATAAAACCTAAATGTGCAAAATTTTATTATAGATTCAAGAATCATTTACTAATACCTCCACAAGGAATGCCAAAACTTTTATTTTTGTTGTAGATATGTTTTCTTTAATAAATATTGTTAGACATCCTTCCTCCTGGATTCTTAGAGCTTCCCTTTGAGAACAGGGTCTGTGTTTTTGTTTTTCATATAGAAGCTTCTCGATAGAAGTTTAACACTTCTAAAGAGACAAAAAAAAATCACTATACAGAAAAGTGTGAAGTCATTGAGAATGCAAAGCATTATTTGCAAGTTTCTTTCACCTACCAACTATAAATCATTTCTCAGGCTTAATCTCCTCTTTATGATGTACAAAGTCCTGTGGTTTTGCTTTTGCTTTTTTTTTAAGGTGATTCTTTTCATGATGAATAGGGGAGAGAAGCACTACAAAATTAGAAGAAGTAAAAGGAGAAAGAAAAGTAGTAAGTGTCAGTCATAGGAACTGTAGTTAGCAGCGACTATTGAAACCTGTAAAGTATAAATTTGACAATTCTGCAAATGGTCCAATTAGCTGAAAGTAATGACAGTAATAAATGTATTATTATATGTGTACAATTATAAAACCTATGGAAAATTACTTGAAAACTTTTCCCTAATTCTTACAAGAAATTAGTAGAAATTGGGTTATTGCTATAACTTAAAAAAACTAAAGACAACATAGCCCATTAAAACATTAGTATTAAGATAGCATACTTCTTACAGTAGTACCATACATTTTTTTAGGTATAATGTGTTAAAAATATACCTATGTTTTTTTCCTCTCTCCTATAATTCTTATTATGTCACTATTTTAGCCTAATAGGAGGCTTCCAAAGCAGGTGCTCTACAGTTAGTTACTTAATCACTTTTTAGTAGTCACTGTAAGAAATAGAAACTCAAAATGTAAAGTGCATTAATTGGATTTTTTAGTGAAAAGGTTGTGAGACTTACTGTATCATTTTAACCATAAAACAGTAATGTTACAACCAAAGTAGTCCTATAAATTTAATTTTTATAACAATAGGAAGAGAAACTCTTGTATATGTTTCATTTTCTCATTCTCTAATCAGATAAAATTTATGTATAGAAAATACTATAAATATAAATATAAAGCAGTTTTTAAAATTTACATAATGATGATTTGCTTTTCTTAAAAATCCATTTCCAGTAAACACAAATAGTTTACATCCTTTGTTTAGCTTATTTATTTGCCAAGAGAAGTTTTAAAATATCTCATGAACGTTTTGTCTTTACATTTATGTAATGGAACAAGGCTATTATTTTGGGATAACTTGGGACTCCAGAAAAATTAGAGATTATTAAACTATACTTAGCCACTGAGGGCAAGTAAAGGAAATGAACTCATCAATTGACAGAGTTTAGTTCCACATGCTAATAATCCAAGAGTACCCTTTGGATCAAAACAGTAACTATCAGTGTAATGCAGATGCACAAAGTTCCAGTACGTTATGAATTTGTGGAATATCGCTATTTATCTTTTATTCTATAGCACTTTTAAGTGGATGCTTCAGAGTAGAACATTTGAAATGTAATTTAAAACTGACCTCGTTTTCAGTTTAGTTACTGAATGGAAGCAATTGAGGACTATAAAATAGTCAAAATGACTTTGCAAAATGTTTTTCATCTTTTGTATTCAGAAACAACTGAACTTTATATTATTGTCATTTTAATGTTTTCTTTGCTCTACTTTATACTTTGTGTATGTGAGTACACAGTTCATCTTGGGTTTGGTCTCTCTCACCCTGGTAGCGTTTCTACAAGAAAGCCGCTGCCTTTGTGTTGAGAGCGGTTGGTAAACATTCTCCCCAGCGAGCTCAGGCCATAGTGGACTGCGGAGCACTGGATGCACTGGTGATTTGCTTGGAAGACTTTGACCCTGGAGTGAAGGAGGCTGCAACCTGGGCCCTTGGATGTATTTCCAGACATAATGCAGGTAAGGGAGCATGCTGGAAAATTTAAGTAAATTCAGTTTTTAAAGTTCACTGTAAAATGGGGCTTTAAGGATGCTTTTGTACATTATGAGAGATCAGTTTTAAATGACAGCCAAGTCGTTTGGATCACATATCCACAAAATACATATACATTTCTTTATCTGAGCAGAAGGGAAATTTAAAGAGGGGAAGGAAAAGGGTGTGGCAGTCCATGGATGTGTGGGACCAGGTCTGAGTCTCAAAGACCTTAGTAAATTTGTTCAGTTACAAAGATTATTGTGGTCTACAACCCTCAAAGGGGTCACTGGGTCTGTGCTCTCACTCCTGATAGAGCATTTTAAGGGTCACACCACAGGAGTGAGTGAAGACATGGACATAACTGTAGAAAATGTGGTTTCTACTCCTATTGGGCTGGGAGGAGGAAAAGAGGCATTTTCTCCTAAGAACTGGGATCTTAGTGTTCCCATAAAAATGGGCCTGGGGCTTCTTGGGAAAAGGCTGTACTGGCACACCCAGATAATAAGAAATACGCAGGGAATAGAATCTCCCCACCACATTATAGAAGTTTCTTACGAACAAATGACATAAGAAGAAAACAGTTCTTTTTAACAAACCCATGTAAAAAAAAAATCAACTTTAATAGCAATCAACAAACTGCAGTTGTAAACATCAACAAAGTATCTTTTTCCCCCTGTCATGGGGTAGGGAATAAAGTAGCAACACAGCCAAGTGGTTAAGAGCACTGTGGCATTAGGCAGCATATGTGTGAGTCCCAGTACTACCACATAGCTGCTGTGTAACCATGGACACAGCTTTTTAACTTGGTGAACCTTAACTTCTTCATCTTCAAAAGTGGGTAACTAATGGTAATTACTGAAGAGATGTTTGATGAGGATGATGAAGTAACATATGTAAAGCCCTTAGACCAGTGCTTGGCATACGGTGAGTACTCAGCTAATAGAAGATTTTAGTGTGAATATTGAACATTGAAGAGTATGTTATAATGTTTATGATTTTTAGCCAGGTATGCACTCGTAAACCAAGCTACTTGTGAGGCTGAAAGACATTGAGACAGGAAAATTGTCAATTGGAGACCAACCTGGGCAAAACAGTGAGAATGCATCTCAGTAAAAAAAATAAAAAATAAATAAGTTTATGAAATTGGAGAAGGAATTACAGACTTCATAAACCTATGGAAGGCAGGTTGACAAAAACTAAGTGATGAAAGAGTTCATGCTTACCCTAAAACCCTGCTTTAAAAAAAAAGCCTGCTTTACAGTTCAGTTTCAATAAACAATCCTGCTGACCACCATGGTGTGAGCAGCTTTCCTCCACCCAGTTCACTCTGTGTGCATTTCTGCCTTGGAGCCCATTGACCATATAGGGACTGCAGCTTCTGAAACTGTGAGCCAGAGTAAACTTCCCCACTTCTTAAATTGTGAGTGCTGGCTGTTGTGTTCAGCAATGGAAAATTGACTAAGGAAGATATGGTTGTGGGAGTGGGGCTATTGCTGTGACTACTTGATCATGTGGTTTAGAAGTTTTTGGAAGTGGTTCGTGGAATGAGTTTGGAATGATTTGGAGAAATGGCTAATCAAGCCCTAAAATGCTGTATGCCAAGATTGATGGGAGACTCTGGCAAAAGATCAGCATACCAGAATGTTGATAGAAAAACGGAGAGTAAAGGCCAGGCTCAGGAGGTTTCAGTTGGGAATAAGGACTCATTGACAGTAAGACTTAAGGCCACATGTATAATGTACTGGCAGAAAATTTTTCTACATTTTGCCTATTTTCTGAGGCTTTAGATGAGACTGAGATTAAGGCTAGTGGACTGTTTCATCTGGTGGAAGAAATTTCAAGGCAGCCCAATAATCAGGCTGTGGCATGGGTGCTTCTGAATACTTTCATCCAGGTTTATAGTGAAAACTATCAAAAACGAGCCCATTTCAAAAGTTTATCATTTTGTTAGAAAGGAAAAAGCTGAACAGTTGGAGCAAAAGACAGCAAGATTGCTAAAAATATTAGCATTAAAAAGAAGTCAGGACAATATAAAAGATGTCTTGATGGCATCTCAGGAATTAGAAAGACCCTACCCTTCACAGGCTGAAGGTTGTAAAATATAAAGATATGCTCCTTTAAAAAAACTTTGCCTCAGCATCCCAAGTAGCTGCAATTACAGACATGTGCAACTGCATCTAGTCAGATGGAACATTTCTGATGAACTTTAGTAGCTTTGAGACAATCTTCAAATGCAAAACACACACTGGCCTATTAGACTCACTTGACTTTTTAAAGGACCCAGAATTACTGTCTTTAAAGCAAATGTATATATGTAAGTGCTTGAGCACTCAAATACTCAACCCATGTGTTAAGGCTAAACCAGTGAGTTTAAAGACTGGGTGGAGGAAAACAAGGTGGAAATAATGAGCATAGGAAAAAATGACATTTGCAAGTGTGAGAAAGTGTCACATGAGACTTTTTTATAATACACAAATTGCCTTTCCATGCTTTTCTTACTTCTGCATGTAATTGGAAATACCAGTCATTCAGCTCAAGTTACAGCTAATATGAGTCACTGTTACCTGTGGCTATTGCCTCTCAGAAGTATTGAAGGTAGTCAGACTCCACAAGGACTCCAGTGATGTCTATCATGTGTCAGTCACATCCTTGGAGAGTATCCCCCAGTCTGCCATTAAACTGTAGCAGAAGTGATGGCATGCTATTTCCAAGGTCAAATTATAAAACTCCTGGCTGTTGTCTTGGGTCCCCTTCTTTGGATTACTCCCACTCTGTGGGAAGCCTCATCAAGTGTATCCTGTTTAGAAGCCCACGCAGTGAAGACCTGAAGATTCCTCCTAACACTGCCATGAGTATGCTCAGAAGGATGCCAGATCCAGCTGGCACCATGATTGTAGCTGACAGACCCTAAGCTTGAACTACCCAAGTAGGCCACTACCAGATTTCTGACATGCAGGAACTGTGAAACAGTAAATGTTGGTTTAAACTGATAAGTAGGGCCATGTAAGTGTAAAGAAAGGGTTAATTTGTGACTTTCTTATATTTTTGAATGAAACATTAAAATACAGCTTTTCTGGGGCTTGGAAACCAGAGTCAAGAGCAGTGTTGTTAAATTACAAAGCAATCAATTTAAATAAACTAGAGTTTCAGGAGTTTTTTGTTTCTAATTTTCAATGTGTGTGCTAATGCATATTTTTTGTCTCTTTTTTTTTTTTTGAAAATCTCATTTTGACTCTGTTTTATGAGTTCTCAGAATCACTCAATTTTGTTCCAGTTTTTCTCTCCTCCATCCCCATTATGAGCAGCAAAATTAACTGAATGTCATAATATAGGTTTAAATCTCCTCCACTTCTATTGCAGGCTGTTAAGGATTGGATTTTATCAATTTCTTGGAATTGTCCTCAGAATTTTCTTATATAGCCTCTACAGTGTTTCTTCCTTTATGACTTCCAAGAATTATAAGTAGAAAGAATATCACCTTTCCACATCCACCTATCCATACCATATTGCCACAGATTATTTTAAAAGGTGTAAGATTTAAGCCTGAGGTTGAGAAAGGTAGTTGAGGTTATATAGTTGGCTACAGATGGGCTCACAAGTCTGTGCCATAGCTGACAAAAGCTACCAGGCAGACACTAAGAGCGACTGGTACAGAAACACCAGAGGAATCAATAATAGGAAAAAGGAAAAAGATATACTAATGAAAAAAAAAAGAATAGTGATAGAAGAAGGATGAAATAGCCAGCAGTGTAGTAACACATAGCATGGTGTGCATTTAGGGCTATTGCATTATTACTTGTATACAGTGGTACTTTATGGCTGATTGGATCCAGGAGGCATGCTGAGTACCAAAAACAATAAGTACCAAACAAATTGGCTTGGAAAGGTAAAGACTTAGGAGGCAGTCAACGCTGACAGTTTCCAGTTTGCACATCGACTCTCAGACAACAAGTATGAACAGAATTTTCATGTCCAAGTGTATCAAGAGCTGGTACTGAACTCTCAAATTCATCAAACTTTATATATATATATAGTGGAACAATATTTCTAAGTGACAATGTGTGCCACTCAAAAGCAGACCCTGACTTTGTAGACCATGTACATTTGGAGATGCAGAGATATGAACTTGGCAGTACAAAATTGGTGATTGCAGTTCTGGTCCTTGGAAACTATCTTCATGGCAAATTTTCCTCTGGGACTGTCCTCAGTGTTCTGACGTTTAATATCACTTTTCTGGAGAGAACAGAAAATAGCTTAGAATGGTGTCTTAGTAACTTTTCTCATAACTAAGACAAAATACCTGACACCCAAAGTTAAAGGAAGAAATTGGCTTAACTGGCTCACAGTTTGTAGATGTTTCAATCCATCGCTGGCTGGTTCCAAGGCAGGGTGACGTGGCAGAGGGGCATCATAGAGGAGAAACAGTTCATGGCAGGCAGAAGGTAACAAAGGAGTGAAGCAGCAAGCAGTGACAAATGATCCAGGCCCCAGCAGCTCTCTTTCTGTCCCTTATATTGTGTCCAGGCTACCTGCTAAGAGGGGCCTTCCCATTATCTATTCCCAGATCTTTGCCAAACCAATCAGTGAACTACCTATATACACTTGATTCCAGCACCACACACTTAATCCCAGTATCACACACTCTAGATACAGCCACCTCTGAACACTCCATCTGTGACCACGTGAGGCTTTAGGGGGACATCTAGACACAGGCCATAACACATGGGAGTGGGTAACAAGTTGGGAGAATAGTTTGCTTTATTGTTAATATTGTAGTCTCAGTGAAAGTAGTGTATGGCACAGTTTAGTAGTCATTCACAGGAAGGATAAAATGTATAGGAACTATAGTGTAGTTTGGAGTCTGACACTGTAATCCCATCACTCTGGGAGGCTGAGGCAAGAGGATCACAAGTTTGATCCCATGCTGGGCAACTTAATGATGTAGTGAGACCCCATCTCAAAATAAAAATTGAAAGGGCTAAGGATGCCGCTCAGTACAAAAGCTCTAGGCCAAAGCCCCAGTAACACACACACACACACAGTATGGGCATTATGAAGATAATAGATGTTTTTTAAAAAGATCTTTGAGTTTTTGTTAATAGTGCTTTTAAACAATGTGTTTTCTGCAGATTCTTTATTCATAGAAACTGTGTATATAATGAAACTAGTTGAGTAGTTGTAAACAAAATGCTCAACCCATAATATTCTAATAGGTACATATAAAGTTGATCTTACCGTACAGGACCTGTGTCATTTGGATTGAATTGAATTTTTCAGGAGCTTGTTAATAATTAATGAAAATGAATACTGTATTTAGAAATTACTTTAACCTTCTGTTTTCTTCCCTTGGGTGGGAGGGACTAGGTGAGAGAGGGGAACATTTTGCCTGCTGTCCCATCACAGTATCAAACTAACAGTTGCTTCTGAGGAACCTGTTATATTGCCAGGTTGATATCCCAGTCTTCCTGTTATTGTTCTCTTTTAAAAACCCCACATTGTCCTCTTATCTACCTTTGGTTCTTAAGATCATATGTAAACTTCTCATTGTATAACATCTCTCATACTGGATTTAAATAGTAGCAACATTTGCTAATGAATGTAGTGTTGACTTGCAGACGTGAGTCACTGGTACCAGCATTAAGCGGGTCTGGCTTAAAACAACCTTTCATTAATACTTGTTTAATAAAAAAACGAATAGGCCATTTATACAATATTAAGGCTTCTAAGATAATTACAATAATTTAAGGAAAACAAGTTGTAAACACTAACCTGTTTGCTAATATTCTTGTAGAGCATGATATTACCAATCTTTTGAAAAGCTAAACATTGTATTTCTTCAAATTAAAGGCTGATATGTAAGTAGTTATTTTAGCTTCACAAGGCATTTATCTATGTCTAAGGAACTACAAATCTGGGGAAAGAAAAACATAAAATGAAAGAAATACATAGGGATGGGTGTATGTGATTCAGTAAGAGAAGCCAGGGATGCAGTGAAAATGGAATCTATAACTACACAGTACTTGGAAGACATCTTTACACATATATTACATGGGCTGCCTCCCTGTTTCCTATTCTCTACAATGCAACATGTATTTTTGTAGCTATCATTCTTGGGCATATAAGTTAAACATCATGCATACTCCAAAGATATTTACCTGACTTCAGATATGTAACATGATTACGATAAATTTATTTTTTATGTAAACATTACATTCATATAAAAGTTATGTTGCTTAGTTGCAAATCTCATTTTTGAAAGTTTTTAATGCATAGTAAAAGCACAGCTTTTTATTTTGTATTAAGCATTTTTTAAATATTAAAAATCTTATGAAATTTAGAAATTGAGATTATTGGCACAACATTCAGGTTAATTTTTATTCCTAAACAGCACAAAATACCGGCTACTTACTCAATATATTTTTGGTACTTTAATTTTCTCTGTTGTAAACCTTGCATAAAATGCTTGCTTATTGAGAAGTACAGAATTGTCAGAGCTTTAAAAAAGAATAATAAGTCATTTCCGCCTAATTTACCTCAAATGTGTTTATGGAATTAGAGGTCCATCTATTGACCTGTGTTCTTTTCAGCTCAGGATTGGTCCACATGGTTTACAAAACCAGGAAGACTGATTTGAAGTGCAGGTATTGAGAAGTACACCCTTCCTTTTTTTCTTTGCTGTGTCTGTCAGGGTGAAGGTCAGTCACCCATACTCATTTACTTTTTTTGGACCCACAGAACTGTCACAAGCTGTGGTGGATGCGGGAGCTGTTCCTCTCTTAGTACTCTGTATCCAGGAGCCAGAAATTGCTTTGAAAAGGATTTCGGCCTCGGCACTCAGTGAAATTTCAAAGCATTCTCCAGAGTTAGCACAGACAGTAGTGGATGCAGGAGCTATTGCTCACTTAGCCCAGATGATCCTCAACCCGGATGCTAAATTGAAGGTATTTTACAATATGGTTAAGTGGCAAAGAAACCAGGCTTCTTACAATCTAGCAAAATGGAAATGTGTACAGATTCAAATTACACAGCTGAAACATAATTAGTAAATTATCACAGAAAACAAACATGAACATATTATGTCACTGATATTTTAGTATATAAAAATAGTGCTATCATATTGGACAAGGAAGGTCTGATTGTGCAATGTTGAAAATTAAAAGTAGCATCAATGTTAGCATCCAAAATTAATATAAACCATCAAATTTCAGGGTTGGGAGGAAAATAAAGATTTTCTAGTCGCCAACTGTAATGTTTAGGTTTCTTTTGAAAGTGGTCATACTTCAGTTAATAGTAATCAATTATGCTTCTGTGTCCTAGGAATTATATTCTAGAGTTTTAAAATTGATAGTGTTAACTGAGCAATGGAAAAGTTCTTTGAAATAATTGTCAATATCCTACTAAAAATATGTTCTGAATCATTTTTATACTAACTTACCACATGTGTCATAAATTGTCACAATTAAGATATAGTATTCACCCAGTGGTCATATTATTTGATCATCTGCAATACAATTTTTAAATAGTATAGAACCAATTTGGGAATTGGAGAATTTTTTTTTTAAATGAGTATGAGACTCATATGAGTGAAGGCCTCAAAACTTGGAAATGTTCTGATATCTAATTTCTCCTTTGCACAAAGGACTTTGAATATGTATAAAGCTGTTTAAATTACATCTGAACTCTGTCATAAACTAGTGGACTCTACAAAGTAATGTTTTGTTTTGCTTTTTCTTAACAGCAACAGGTCCTTTCAGCTCTCGGTCAGATTGCAAAACATTCTGTGGATTTGGCAGAAATGGTTGTTGAAGCCGAGATTTTTCCAGTTGTACTTACCTGTCTGAAGGACAAAGATGAATACGTGAAGAAAAATGCTTGCACTTTAATTAGAGAGATTGCAAAACATACACCTGAGGTGAAACAGATTTTAAAAAGCTTCAACATACAATAATATGTAGTTTTAGTTTGTAAGTAAAACATCGATTTGTTTGGGGGCTGCAGGGTTTTGCTGCATGATCTGGTTAGGGCAGGGTTTTCTCATCCTCACTGATAACACCATTATGGGTTAGGTAATTGTTTTTGTGGGGAACTGTTCTGTACATTGCAGAATCATCCTTTAGCAGCATCCCTGCTCCCTGGATGATATCGCATCCCTCCCCCAAGAGGTGACAATCAAAAGTATCTCCATACATTGCAGATGTTCCCTGGTGGACAAAATCTGGGTTACGTTAATGGAGTTTGAGTTAAAATCTCAGTTTCCAATCATTTCCTGCTTTCCATTTCTGCATTGTGGGGTCTGTGGACCTCTGCAATCCTTACCATTTTATGTCAGCCAAGAGTAGTGGGAATATTACACTTCCAGGCTGAGACAAGACAGAGATCCCCAGCCTAGGATGACCATTGTAATAGCCATTCTTATGCAGTGATTTCTGATTTTTTCGGTGAGAAAGACAAAGCAAGCCCATGTTGATTCTGAAGCAGTGTCTTTTTTTGATATATATTTAGACTAATCAATTTCATCTCATTGTTTGTTAAAGTCCTCATTTTTTTCTCATCTAACATGTTTATTTGGTTGATGTTTTTCCAAGTGGCAGTGCACTCAGCAAATGGCGGATAATTAGATTAGCATATTTCTAGTTTGGTCATTGGCATTCAGTGATTAATCTGCTTCATACTCACGCATTGTGGCTGGGGCTTTCAGTAGTTTGCCAGTTATGAACTAGCCCTAGGCTTAGTGTCTAGGTGAGGAATTTTGACATCTACTGTACTAGAGATAAAAGTTGTGCTATTGATGCATAAAAAAACGAAGCACAGAGTAAAGCTTCTCACAGTGAGTATAGTGTGTATTTGAAATGGCAGGATATTACCTTTGTATGTTTCTTTAATAATTAGAGTAGTTTCTCTAAATGATATTTCAGTTTTACCAATGGTTTTTATATCCTAAATAGAGCATAACCATACTAAGCTTAAGATCATCTTATGCTTTGTGTTCTGACTGGTTAGCTCTTGTTCTTGCCTGTTAGCTTTCACAGCTGATTGTGAACACAGGAGGGGTGGCCGCGGTGACTGACTGCATTGGGACCTGCAAAGGGAACACGCGGCTGCCTGGCATCATGATGCTCGGTTATGTGGCCGCTCATTCCGAGAACCTGGCCATGGCAGTGATCATTTCCAAGGTGTGTTCTTGCTTCATCTCCTAGTTATTGCAATAAGATGTGAGATGGAACCACAGGTTGATGATACTCCCCCATGGATGATAAAGTGTAACTGGCTGGAGCAAAAGATTGATTTGAGTCTACTGTTGTTCTCAGATTTTTTTATACTTGACAAAAAGGTAATTTCACTAAAGGTTTTCTTTTTTTTTTTCTTCTGGTACCAGCAATCGAACTCACGACCTTGCACTTGCCAGGCACTGTGCCACTGAGCTACATCCCCAGCCCCACCACTAAAGATTTTAAATTAAGTTTTTTTAACAAAGGAAAGTGAAACGTTTTAAGATACTAAGCATTTTTAGTTAGTCACAGTGGAATATGGTTTTGCCTCATCTACATCATGTGTCCTTTGGTTAAATGTCTCTCTGTCTGATGGGAGAAAGCTATTTTTAGTTAAGTCAGGTTGGTAAAGTAAATGTTTAAGGTAATTTAGTTCCAGACATTTTGTTTACTTAGGATATGACAACCTTTATGATGTGCTCATTTATTGAGTCATTTAGTAAAAAAGGCCAAAATGGTTTCTCCTAATGTTTGAAACACGGACGACTCTTTAATCCTGCTCTAGATTTATATCGCCTGCTCTTTTCATCACTGCTGCAGGGTGTACCCCAGCTGTCAATCTGCCTGTCAGAAGAACCAGAGGATCATATTAAGGCAGCTGCTGCTTGGGCCTTAGGGCAGATTGGGCGACACACTTCTGAACATGCACGGGCTGTTGCCGTCACAAATGTTTTGCCTGTTCTGCTTTCTTTGTACATGTCAACAGAAAGTTCTGAAGATCTGCAAATGAAAGTAAGGATAGTTCTATGAAGATTTTTTGGACTTTGACATTTTAAAAACATATTATTTACTTATTCTATTTATTTATTTTTTACATAGAGCTAAAGTGTGGTCTTTTCTTGTAGGCTGAGGGACCCATTCAAGATTTTTAAATGCCTTAAATATATGGAGTGTTATTTTAAAACTATGAATCTGATAGTGCTGTGGAACTGATTCCTATTTGTACACTTTTTTCTTTCCTCTTTAAAAATTTAATTTCAAGAGAATAAGAAAGCAAAAATGATGCAGAATTTCAAAATAAGATGAGAGGAAATCAACAAGGATTGTTATTTTGCATATTGTTATCTTCAAAGTAGTTGCTCAGATTACCAGATATTGGCATGCAAAATTTATCAAACAATTAAGCATTAACTGTTCCTTTCAATAAACCAATAAGAATTAGTAATACAATTATTTTAGCTATCTTGTGTGTATAGATATATGTATATATATATATATTTTTTTTCCTCTTCCTTCTTTTCTCCTTCCCCCATTCCAGTTGTTCTTTCCTTTTGAGCAGTTTCTTTCCCTTTCACAATATCTTTTGTACCTTTTGGATCTTATTTAGTCTTTCCGTTTCTTACATTAGGGAGATAATAGGATGTTTACACATGTGAGTCTGATTTATTTCAGTTATGAGTATGGTCTAGTTGCATCAATTTACCTATAAATGCCTTGAGTTTATCTTTCTTTAGAGCCGAGTAATACTCCATTGTACAAAAATACCACATCTTTTTTATCCATTCCTCAGTTGATGGGCATTTGGCTTGTTTCCAAGATGTAACTATGACAGATTGTGCTGCTATGAACATGGGTGCACATATGTCACTGTGATGTGATGTTTTCAATTTTTCTGGCAAAATATCCAGAAGGAGAATAGCTGGGTTGAATGGGACCTCTACGCCTAGTTTTCTGAGGAATCTCCACAATGATTTCCACAGTGGTTTCACCAGCCTACACTCCTACCAACAGTGGAGAAGGGTTCCTTTTCCCCTCAGTCCCTCCAGCTTTTGTTATTGGTTGATTTCTTGATGATAATCCTCTTTCTGGGGTGAGATAGAATCTCAGTGTTGTTTTAATTTGCATTTCTCAAGTGACCAATGATGTTGAACATTTTTCATATATTTACCATTTGTATTTCTTCTTGTGAGATGTGTGTGGCCATCTCAGATGTCCATTTTTAATTAGGTCTTTGAATTTTGAGGGCCTGATTTTTTGAAATTCTTTATCTGTTCTGGATAGAAGTCCTTTGTCTGAGGGACAGTTACTTAAAATTCTTTCCCAGTTCATGGGTTTTTGTTTTACTCTGTTGGTGATTTCTTTTGATGTGCAAAAACTTTTCAATAAAATGAGATCCAGTTGTTGATTTTTTCAAAATATTTCCCATGCAGTTTGGTTTTTACTCATGAACTCTGCCTACCCCTTTGTCTTTAAGATTTCTACCTATTTTCTCTTCCAGTAGACTTAGTGTTCCTGTTTTAATATTTATATCTTTGATCCATTTTGACTTTAGTTTAGTGCATGGTGATAGACATGGTTCTAATTTTAGTCTTTAGCTTGTGGAAAGCCAGTTTTTCCAGCACCATTTATTAAAACAGCTATCTTTCTTCCAGTGAACATATCTGGCCCCTTTGTCAAAGATAAGGTGGCTAGGTGTGTTTGTAGTAGTGTCTGTATCTTCTGATCTGCTCCGCTGGTCCTGAGGTCTGTTTTTTTGCCAGTACCATGCTGATTTTATCATAGTAGCTTTGTCGTATAATTTCAAGTCAAGGATCGTGATGCCTCTTGGCTTTCCTTTGTTGCCCAGGATTGCATTTGCTATTCTAGGTCTCTTCTGGTTCCAAATGAATTTCAAGAATGTTTTCTCAAGATCTGTGAGATATGCTACTGGTATTTTGATTGAGATTGCATTAAATCTGTATAACAGTTTTGGGAGTATGGCCATTTTCACAGTGTTGGTTCTTCATATCCCTGAATGAGGAATATGTTTTCATTTTTGGAAATCCTCTTTGATCTTTTTCAGAGTACTATGATTTTTAATGTATATATCTTTTATTTCCCTTATTAGATTGATTTTTAAGTATTTCATTGTTTTTAATGCTATTGTGAAGGTTGTAGTTTCCCTAATTTCTCTCTCAGTGAATTTGTTGAAAATGTATAATTTAAAATATTTAATTTTCTTTATGGATAGTACTCCTTGTATGAGTCTAGAAATACAAATTTTTAGAAAAATTAAAGTCACTTACATCATCTTTAAAAATTACTGCAATATTTTAAAGAAAGCTGTGCAGGTGCAGAGTTATTTGTAAAATGAGTGTCTTGTTGTTGCAGTCAACACTTCTGTTTTCCTATGAAATAGGAGATGAATAATAGGATTTTTGAGTTAAAATTTGCTAAGACCTTTGCTACATATTTTGGTTTAGAATCAAATGAGTTCAAAAGGTAAGGTGCTTTTCCAGGGTATAATGTAAGCAGTTGGAGTATTTCTGAAGCTATATAATTTACTTCATTTACCACTCTTAACTCCAAGGCTGCCTAATCTTTGAATTATGGCTTGTTTCTATTCCTTAAAATATTGCCCATAAGAAAAAGTTTAACTAGACATTTCATCAAAGAAGACATAAAAATGACTACTGACACATGAAAAGATGTTCAGCATCATTGGTCACAAGGTAAACATAAAGCAAAAATACAGTGGGTTATTCACATCCCCAAGAATTTTATTATTAATGAGACAGACAATGACAATTATTGACCACCATATGGAGAGCCTTGAAACCTACTATTTTGCTAGTGGGAATGTAAGATATTACAGTCATGTTGAAAATTATTTTAGCCATTTCTTTAAAATATAAATTTATCATCACTAACCACAAAGCCCATTCTTATGAGAAATTAAATATGAGAAATTAAAACACTCATGTTATGACTTACATTAGATGACTCCCCAAAGCCTCATGCAGTCATAGGTGGGGCTTTTGGGAGTGGCTGAAGCATGGTTATGTAATACTGGATCATGGGGTTTGTGATTCTAGATTCGTCCCTAATTATAGAGAGCTCTTCCCAGTCCTCATTGCAGCCCAAGAAGTTTATACTTGTAATCCCATGGAAAAATTATTGGAATTCTAGTGAGTCAATTCCAATCTACCACTTCCAGTGCAACCCATGGTGAGAATAAAGACACTAAGGAATATTTGTAGTTATGGGGAGCCAAGGGATCCTATGTCTGGTTATAGTGATGGCTAGTCAGAACAAAGGCCTCAATCCAGGGCCAAACCTGAGTTTTATTAATTTGTGAAGAAGGGAGTGGCTTGAGGATGAGTGACTGTGAGAATGGCAGGAAGTATGTGAGTGCTGTGAGCTGGACTAGATAGGAGGCCTGAAATCACTTCTACAATATGCAGGGAGAAGGATATGCAGAAAGAGTAATCCAAATGACACAATTGAGGTAGTAGCTGATGTTTTGGCATCGTGCTTCAGCTCTGATGTGTAATCTTTTATGCCCTGGGAAGTCATAGCCTCGTATCTTGAGCCTCAATCCCAGCTGACAGTGTGGAGCACAGCTCTTCATCCTGCTGGCTCACACATTTATTTGGGAGCGACAGGGGGCCTTGGAAACACTGACCTGTAATCTTTGCTTCAAAGACTATGTGTCAGCCTTGACTGGACCAGTTTGCATTGCTGAAAGCCAATAGAAGGGATAAAGAAAAGTCCTAGCCAGCTCTGCACACATCACTACATGGAAATAGGGCCAGGTTCAACCAAAATGGAGATAATTGTTCCATCTTCAGGAAGAATCACACAGGTGGTGCTCCACACCTAATTGATTTAGCATAGTTTGGAGGGTGACTGAATGGATTTACTAAAGATGGAAGACCCACCTGGGTGTGAATGGCACCAAGAAATAGACTTGTAGCCTGGATGGAATTAAAAGGAAAAGCAGAAGGTATTTTATCCCAGCAATGGGAAACTAACTAAGACATCTGGTCTACACAAAGACTAATATATAAGTCTTTATAACAGCATTATTCATAAGAGTCCAAAGTGGATACAGCCCCCATATCCATCAGCTGGTGAATAGATGAACACAATGTGGTAAATCCCTATAATACAATTCTGTTTGACATTTAAAAAAAACAAAAGGTCAATACATGTTACAACATGGATGGAATTCACAAATATTGTATTTGGTAAAAGATTCTAACCACAAACATTCACATGTTGCATGATATAATTTATGTGGATTTTCTAGAAAAGCCAAAATTATGACAGAAAGTAGAATAGTAGTAGCCTAGAGATTGTAGGGCTCAGTGAGAGGAGGAATAAGGAGTTCATGGCATGAGGTTATTTTTTTGGGATGATGAAAGTGTTCTAAGATTAAATTGTTGAGATGATTGCATAATTCTATAAATCTACTAAAGATCGTTGGATTGTGACTAAAAAATGAATGAATTCATGATATGTAAAACTATACCTACATAAAACCATAAAAATGTCCTAATTTCAAAAATATGTATGTCTACAAGAAAAATCTTAATATTTATTTCATACTGGATGATAAAACTGTTGTTAATCATAATATTCCATCTATAATAATATAGTCATAAATTGAGTAATTTCTTCCAGATGAAGGATAGTAAAGTTCAAAGAATTCCCCGTATGAGATTTGTTTGTAGAGTTCTTGACTAATAACCATATATCATAAGTTTGGAACTATTAGAGTAGGACTGTCTGCTTGGTATAGTTGATGTGACTTCTCATACAGTTACTAGTCCTTGTCACTGATAGCAGTTACACTTAATTTGTTGGCTTGTGGAGGTCCACAAAATCTTACAATGGTTCACAAAGGTACCGTATAACCAGAGGTGTTGGGATTTGAGAGTTTAATTTCAAATTATACCAGTGGTAAAGTGTTGGGCTACATTTCTTACATTCCTTATTTATTTAATTTGTGAAACAATATTGGAGGACAAATGTACTAAGAAATAAAAGGTTATACAAGAATGCTCAATCTGAGTCTCTAAGAAAATTTAAATTCAAGAGCTCCTTTATTTATAGCACAAATATGCTGAGTATTTTCATTTAATACCCTTTACCTGTTAAAAAATTATGATGTAAATTGATTTCAAGAACATTCAGTGACAAGATCATAATCCCAGAAACATTCAGAAGAACATTCAGTAACAAGAACATAATCCCAGAAAACCATGTTGGCTAAGGCCTTGGAGAGAGAATAGTGAACACAACAAAGTCCTTAGGGATGTACTGAAGTACCAAACCAGGTGTGGAATTCTAGTGCAAAATACCTGTGAAAATCAAAACTTGGAGCTTGTACAGTGAAGAGTACAGCTTGTATTACTACAAAGAAACAAAATCAGAAGTAGGCACAGGCTTAGAACTGGATGCAGCAAAATGCTACAGTCACAGTTAAATGAGGCCCTTCTTCAACCATGCTTGGGGCAGGGGACAACACTATATTTTTTTGGTGTCACTATGAAATATGGAAGGGTGCTAGGGGAGGAGTAGGAATGGTACATGTGGTAGCTATACTTTTGCCTGTGGTGATCCACTCCATATTGTTGAGAGGAGCTTTTCCTTAACAGTGGAGTAGATCCTATCTGTTTTCCTTTCACCTAAGAATGGGGAAATTTCTACTCATAAGCTATGGCAGCAATCTGCAGATTATCACTGAAAATGATCTGCAGGTGACACTGAATAATGTGTACAGTAGACACTTCTGATTGCATACATACGAGCTATATCTTTTGGAGAACACAGAAGGCCTGATAATGGAACTGTGCAGTAAACTAAGTTATTTTCTCATATTTGTTGATTGGAAGAAATAGAATATTTTAGTAAACTCATAGCTTCATGTGTACAGGGTTTTACACTACTATGTGAAGTATATTAAGTTGCAGTCTGTGACTTTAAGCTTTACAATTTTAATTTCCTCATAGCTACTTTGAGCTCAGTAAGGCACCATATATTGTAAAGTTTAACGTGAAACTAACTGGCAGGATATCCTATGATAAGACCAATAAAAAATAAAAAGGTTTTCAGAAAACTATTTTTACAAGTGAAACAATTGCAGGGTAGACCATCGAATTTAATTTCATCTTCAAATTCCAGGAATGTCAGGCATGAGTTCTTACCCAGATTTCATTAATTACTCACTTTTGTATATTTTTGCTTTGTATTTCAATAGTGTAAAAAAGCCATAAAGAGCATCCTACAAAAATGCACCTACTTGCCAGCCCTGGAGCCATTTCTGTATGACGCACCTCCAAATATTCTGAAGCACGTGCTTGGACAGTTCAGCAAGGTACGAAGCGTATTCTTACCGCACTGCCTGAAGGAAGGGCAGACAATGAAGATGGTTTATCACTTTGCTGTTTCTGTTTTCTTTTTTCTACTTGCTTTTTTTTGTGTATCATGGAGTCCTGGGCCTTTACTACTTAACTCTCACCTGTCTATTTTGACAAAAGAAACACAGGTAAATAAAGTCCACATGTCAAACATTTTCTCCTTCTTTACATTTTCTCACAGGTCTGTACTCTTTTTTTTTAGGGTCTTAAGGAAATAAATTGTATGTCAAGACATGATACAAATATTTAATTATGATAAGTAGCTTTTAGTAATTTTTCCAGTGTCCTTTAGTTTTACCCACTTGGGGACACAGCAGTACTCATATCACAAGAGAAGGAAAAAGCTCTCTGAGCCCCTGAAGTATTTTTCACAATGTCCATGCACTGCGGATTGGAGATGCTCCCACTCAGCTATTTGGAGCACTTCGACTTTTCCATAAACAGTTTTAGCCAATGAAGCTGTCATTTTCCTTACATCATTACAGGCTAGATGGTAGCAAACCATGGTAAGGTAGAAAGGTTGAGCTGCCAGAGGTGGGCACAGCCAGCGGAGCTGCCTACTGGCAGACAGCAAGGAATGAGAGAGAATAACTTCATTAAACAGTCATTGATGGTCAGGATGGTAACCCTAAGGTGTCAAGTATGGGTTAAATCGTGATTTACATATTTGACAACTTAAAACAGTGAAGCTAGATGTGGTGGCACATGCCTGTAATCCCAGTACTCTGAGAAGTTGAGGTAGGAGGATCGCAAGTTCAAGCCCAGCCTGCATAACTTAGTGGAACCCTGTCTCAAAACAAAAAACTGGCCAGAGCTGAATGCGCAAGTCCTGGGTTCAATGCCCAGTTGTGGAAAAAAAAAAAAAAAAAGAAAAGAGAGAGCAAGGATGAAAGGGAGAGCAAGAAGGAAAAGGAAAAGGAGATCTGTGAAAGTCTGATACTATAGAGGTAATGCTCACAGGGTCAGGATTTGGAGTGCCTAGATTCCCCACTTAACTGCTCTGATTCTTAGGAAAAGTCTTGACCTCTCTAAACCTTAGTTGGGATACCTGTAAAATGTGTATAATAGTAATTATTTCATAGGGTCATTGTAAAGATGAAGGAAGACATTGTACATTAATGATTAAGATCATTCCCATAGCATTTTTTTTTTTTTTTTTGGTACCAGGAATTGAACTCAGGGCCTCGAGCTTGCCAGGCAGTCACTGTGCTGCTGAGCTACATCCCCAGTGCCCCAGTCATATATTAAATACTCAAAAATTAAGAATATTTTTTAATTTTACAGAGAAAAGAAAACAACAAAGATCAAAACAAAACAAAACAAAAACCAATAAAAACGTTGCAGAATTTCAAATCAAGTGATAGGAATTAACAATGGTTGTTATATTATATATTGTTATCTTCAGTAAAGTTGTTCAGATTACCAGATGTAAGAATGCAAGACTGATCAAACAATTCAAGAGAATGAAAAATAAGAAAAAAACATTAGAAACAATACAAAATATCACTAAACAAGATGGTAGGAACTGAACAATGGTTATTATATTGCATATTGTTGTCTTCACATTTGTTGTTCAGATTACCAGATATAAGCATACAAAATTGGTCAAAAGACAATTTAAGCATTAACTGTTCCTTTTAATAAACCAATAGACATCAGCAGTTCAGTTATCCCAGCTACCTTGTACATACATATATATATTTTTTCCCTTCCTTCTTTCTTTTCTCTTTTCCCTCATCCCAGTTGTTCCTTCCCTTTGAGCAATTTCTTTCCTTTTCATAATATCTATTGTACCTTTTAGGTTTTATTTACTCTTTCAGGTTCTCACACTAGGGAGACTATATGATGTCGACACATGTGGGTCTGATTTGTTTCACTCATGAGTATGGTCTCTAGTTGCATCCATTTACCTATAAAAGCCTCGAGTTTATATTGGTCATTTGAGAAATGCAAATTAAAATAACACTGAGATTGCATCTCATCCCAGAAAAAACGGCCATTATCAAGAAGTCAACCAATAACAAATGCTGGAGGGACTGTGGGGAAAAAGGAACCCTTTTCCACTGTTGACGTTATAACCATTATGGAAATCAGTGTGGAGATTCCTCAGAAAACTAGGCTTAGAGGTTCCATTCCACCCAGCTATTCCCCTTCTGGGTATTTTTCCAGAAGAACTGAAAACATCATACCACAGCGATATATGTGCACCCATGTTTATAGAAGCATAATTTGTCATAGCTAAATCTTGGAAATAGCCCAAATGCCCATGAACTGAAGAATGGATAAAAAAGATGTGTTTTAAAGAAATAAAACATGCATATGGTTAAGACTAATTTTTTTAATAGTAGAAAAAGGTACATTTATTTGAATAGTCAGTTATAAAGGTACATGAACGTAGTACTATAGTTTATATTCTATATTTGACAAATAGTACACTTAAACTATAGGTCCTACAGTTGAGTAGGCCTAGTTTTAGGTACTCACTTGAAAGACAGAGTACTAGTGGACTTCAGTCCTCTGAGCTGTCTCCCTGATCCTCAGCAGCTTGATTGACCTGCAAGCCCATTGCTACTGGAAAACAGATGTTTTCCACTGCCAAAGCACTGCTGGATACAATTCTGTGTATCATACACAGATTCTGTCCACTTCTTTTTAAGAAAATGATGAAAATTATTGTCTCTTAAATATATGGTGTGTGGGAGATTTAACAGAATGCCCCTTGAACAAAACAATTGACTAACCAAATATTGGGGGGATAGGCTAAATTACTGCAAGGAGAAAATCAGTTTCTTCCTTTGTGTATGCTTGGTTGCTAAGTCAAAACTGGCTGCCTCACTTGGCCATCTAAGAAGAAGGGGTAAGCGGCTGCATGGGTCATCTGTAGACAGAGTCATCAGCTTTTGAAAAGGGGTAATTGACATTATTTTTTAAAGTTTCATTTTGTAGTTTAGTGAGTAATTCTAGTTTTACTGAACTTGCTATAAAAATGAACATTAATATCTTTTAAGAGTTCAAACTAAGTAAATAAAAACCAGTGGGATTTGTGTAAGTTAGCTGTTGTCAAAGAAAAGTCATAATGCATGTCATATACTCATAAATGTGCCTTTGGGAATATTCGCATTATTTTCTACTTTCTTAGAGGGTACTTAAAGGAAGTAACATGCGTTAAGTTAAACAAAGAGTAGGTATTAGCCAGGCAAAAGGAAGAAGTTTGTGGAGTGTGTGAAGGCATCCTAGGGCCACAGGGCTCATGCTTTGATGTCACTGACACAGAATTTAGGATGAAGCTTGGTGGTAGGACCCGGAGAGGTATTTGGGAGTGGGATGGCAAAGGACCCTTGGTGAACTGTGTTAAGAAGCTTGCCCTTAATTTCGTAGGTAGTGAATGAGAGTAAACTATGTTTTACATTCTGAACGGATCTCCTTTGCTCAGGTTCATTGCCTTCATTCAACACCCATAACAAAAACTTAATATACTTCTATGAAGAATGCATTTTGCCTCCAGTCATCAGCAGATTTGGGCTCATTATGGCTTTATTGGGCATGAATTTTTTTTATCTGTATTTTCTCACATAAATCATTGCTTTCAAATAGCCACATTCTGAGTTGGAAAAGAAAATCTGACATTTTTGTTGCTTCACTTTTCCAGGTGCTGCCACATGACAGTGAAGCTCGTCGACTTTTTGTAACAAGTGGTGGACTTAGAAAAGTTCAAGAGATCCAAGCAGAACCTGGTTCTCTCCTTCAGGAATACATCAACAGTATTAACAACTGTTACCCAGAGGAAGTAGTACGGTAAGAGGAAAGAGCCTAAGAAGTTCAATAATATAATGTGGCTTTTAGGTTTTGAAATCTAGATTTTATATGCACTGTGTCATAATGTGATGTGCAGCTTTAACTCTGTCTTGATCTCCTTTGCTCCTTGCAAATTAAATTAAATAATTATGCTCACATTAATATACACTTTCCAGTCAATCTGGAGTATCATTTAAGACATTTCTATACTAAAATATGCCTTACTAAAGAATACCCAAATATGCAGTTCAAGTTAAATTAACAGCTTCAGTTATGATGACCTGATTTAGAAGAGACTACACATTCTGGTTTTCATAGTCCCCTGCTGATCACTTTTTCAGGCTCATATTCACATTAATAGAAGTATTATAAGTGGATAAGAGATACTGAATAATGAAAGTAATTATCTAAATGCAAAAATACATATATTTATGATAGGCAGATAAGCTTAGAGTAATATAGCAGGAAGTAATATGAGGAAAACTTTTAAGAGGTTTTTTTTTTTTTTTGCAGTGCTGAGGAGCCCAGAGGCTCACACATGCTGGGCAGGTGCTGTACCACTAAGCCCTGCTCTGCTCAGATTCTCTCTTTTTAAATGAAGTCATTTTGCAGAACATTGTTAAACATAAGCCAGACCTAAGACTCAGTTCTTGGAAGCCTGGAGAACTATACTGTTAACCCCCTACCAAGCAAAGTTACCAAGAAAACATAAAAAATTGCTTAAAACTATCAAGTCTGGAAAAATGTCCACAAGGCATGTAAATAAAAGGCATAGTTACTTATATTTTTCTAACCTGGCTTATTTGTCTTCTCACTAACGTTAGAAAATACAAATTGCAGTTATCTATAAATTATAACTTTTATCTGCCTATAGTTCTGATTTGATGTGAGTTTTTAAATTAATTATTTTTTTGAGACAGGTCTCACTATGTAGTTCAGGCTGTCCTTGAACTTACTGTGTAGCGTAAGCTGGCTTCGAACTTGAGGTGATTCCCCTGCTAAGCCTCTGGAGTGCTGGGGGTATGCCACTTTGTCCTGGTCAGAGGCTTTTAATACATATGGTTTACAAGCACAGGGTACTGATTTTAAAAGCACACAGCTATATATGTGAATGAAAAGCATTTTATTCTTAAAAATAGTTTTGTGCTTAACTCAAGGGCCTATACACAGGAGGAATCCACTCCAATAAATATTTTTTTATTATTTTTATTAGTACATGTTTTCAGTACATAATAACTTCATTCATTGTGAGGAATTTGTACACACACACAACACATCTTAATTTATTTTTCTCATTCCCTTTCCCTTCCGCCATCCTCCCTCCATCTTGGTCACCTCTTTTTCAAAAGATGTTTCATTGTCCTCTTTTGGGACCCATTGTTTCATTTTTCTTTCTCTCTTTAAGCATTATTAAGTAAATAAAACTTAATTTTACACTAACATTGGAGAAACTATGTAGCAGTACTTAGCCAGTTACTATTTTTCACTATTTGTTTTGATGACAAAATGAATATTAAGCAATTTTTAAATTTTTTTGCAAAAATTAGTGATTAAGTAAGATTATTCTGGTTACTCTGGTTAGCTTGGAAATGAGCCACTAAAGCCTCAAGATTTATTGGTAGATCCTACATGATTTATTGGGGACTGTTATTTTAAAGCAACAGTAGCCAATAGAAATATGTAAGCCATGCTTTAAAAAGCAAAATGAAGTAAGATAAATAAAATTTTAATGATTGTTAAAATCCAGTATATCCAAACATTATAATTGCAACTGGTAATCAGTACAAAATTTATTAATGCATTATTTTACGTTTTTACAATATCACTTCCAACACATCTTAGTTTAGATGCTAAATTTTATTGGGTATATTTGACCTACATTTAGATTATATAAAATTTACAGTTGAAAAAGTAAACTCCAAAGTTATTTCAAATGCACTAAACATTTTTCAGTAACTGAAACGGGTGTAGGTTTTAAAATTTTAATTGAATATAAAAATTCAGTTTCTCAAATGCACCATATTTTCTAGTCTCAACTTCAGCGCTTAAGTAGCACAATTTTTAAAAAATTTTTGAGTCAAGCATGTGCATATAGATAAAAATAGCTAATGAAGGACAAAGTGGGCCCTAGCACTAGGTTTTATCTAGGGAAAACACTTTCAAGGGGCTTATTTTGAGTGTATTGGGAATTTTAAAATTACTCGACCTTAAGTTTTAAAATCCATTTCTTATATTCTAGAATTTCTGCCAAATATTATTTGACAGATTTTTATATGCATGTAAGTTATTTCCATGGCATATTAAACATCCTATAGTACATTGTTAATCAATGTAATTAATACTTTTATACTAAATCTTTTATAAAATGCTCAGTTTGTAAGTATAAATTTCTAGTCTTATGTATGTACAAGAACCAATAAAAATGATTAATTTTGTGGGTTTCTATGACACTAATATTTGCAAACTATTTATTACATTTTTAATGGGATTTTTTTTTTAATGAATGACCAGGTCTGACTAAAGCATAGACTAAAAAATGATTTGTAAGGCAAATACAGCAGTTGATTAATAATGAGAGGTGTGTGGTCTAACTTCTGAAAAAAATCTATTAGGTGTGACTTTTAGAGCAATATTAGTTAGCTGATATAATGAGAAGAAAGCCTCTGTAATAAAATGTCACTGGTATGAAGTCTTTTGCTTGGAAGTGATCTCCTTTGCTGTTACGTTTATCTGCCTTTGATGGTTTGCTAATTGTGTAGCTCAGAGTTGTGAGTTGATATTCTCTTCCTGAGTAGTCTCCATGTATAAAGCATTACTGGGACCTAGATATCCAGGCTACATGTGAGGTTTCACTCATAGAATTAGTTCAGATAAATTCCTTATAGAGAATCTTTTGATCTACTGTGCTGAATCTTGAACAAGTATCTAATAGCAGTTTTCTTTTCCAGGTACTACTCTCCTGGATATTCAGACACACTTCTGCAGAGAGTGGACAGCTATCAGCCAATTACTGATTAAATGTCATCATATTTTTATACTCAAATTCATGGCCACATTTCATGAATAATAATTGTTAAAATTCTTTCTAAATATTTGAACTAAATACATTCTAGACTTAATGTAAAATACCTTTAGATAATATTTTCATAGTTTATAGTTTAAAAATTAGTATCTTGAATACATGAGGAACTATTGATAATCATTTACATATATTGGATTTGTTCACAAGGTAATTTGTAAATAGACAATAAAAGATTTTTAAGACTTTTTTTTTACTAAAAATCACAGAGAGACAGAGAGAGAAAGAGAGGCCTCCAACTAGATAAATAGGTGAAAGATAGTGTTCAAAGCCTTTATTTTGGCCAATTCCAAAGATAAACTATAGCTAAAGGCCAGGCACATGGCCTTGCAGAGTACACGGGAGGATGCAGAAAGGACATAGCTCCAGGAGGACAGGAACACAGGGCCCTTCAAAGGGGCACTGATGCTGGGTACATAAATGCACTGACCTGGTACATAGAATCAGTCTACTGTCAGGTTGTCCTAAGAATTTAGAAGGTGCTCCTCGTTTTCACAAGTTTTTGAAGTTCTCTTTTCATCTTGCCTAAGATGTTCTCCACCTTTCTTGGGGCTGCAGAGAGTAGAAGTCATTACGAGGCATTCTGCACTTGTATGCACGCTCTCTGACCTCATGGAAAGGTTTCTTATTGATCATGAATAAACAGGGAAGCTGGCATGTAAGGTGAGTCCTCGTGTTCCCTTTTCCTGGCCTGTTCATGCTCCCACATCTCAAAAGTCACATTTTTGGGGGTCAAAGGAATAATTTGAAAAAAAAAATACAATGAAATTCAGACTTTATACTTACTGTATTTTCACCTAGAAAGGTATAATGGGAGATTTCAATAAAATTTTAAATAAAAATAACATTGGAATTGTCCTTTTTATTTTTCCTATCTAGTGTTTTTCTGACCTTGGGGAATCTGTGACTGGATTTAGGAATCTTGGTTACTTGGCATGTGTGTGTGTGTGTGTGTGTGTGTGTGTGTGTGTCTTGATCTAAACAAGGGCTATTGCTTGTATGATCTCTGCTGGAGGCCTGAAGAGAGGTCAGCGGTAATCCAGTGAGCCATCAGTGCCTGCAGTCTGGGTTTGTTACTAGGTTTCCTTGTAGAACTCTTTATTTTTTCTCAAAAGGAACTTACCCATTTTTGGCATTTGTCCAGGTTTGTCTCTATCATCGTTTTTTCCCCAGTAGTACATAGCTTTTATGGGTCTCTTAAAACTTCACCATACTCAAGTTGTCTCATTTCTTTTCTCCTTACATTGATAGTGATTTTATTTTGTTCGTTTGTTTACTTTAGGGCTGGGGATTGAATCTAAGGCTTTGTGTATGCCAGACCATGCTACCCCTGAGCTACATCCCCAACTGTGATGTCAGGTTTTAATACCTACTTGGGCCTTTTTTTGTTTTGTTTTTTGCAGCACTTTCTTTTACTCATTGAATATTAAAAAAAAGTGTAATTTTTCTTCCCTATTTTATATCTTTCTTTGCTTCCTGCCTGTCCAGTTTGTTTTGTGAGCATTTTAACAATCTGAGAAAATAAAAGTAGTCTTCACCTGTCTTTATTAAGACTTTTTGTCTTAGATGCTTTGTTGTTAATGACAGAAACCTGTTTATCCAGATTAAAACCTCCTTGGATATTATTGAAATGGTGAATTTCCCATGCTGTTTTCTTTGCATTATACTTTGTACTTGAGATTTTCCACTTCATGCATTCTTTCATATTTATCAAATAGTAAATGTGGTGGATGGACAACTGCTGGTCAGCTTGTAACACCCAGCTGAACTGAGTCAGCATGGTACTGGGTGTGGAAGGCCTACCTGATGACAGTCACCAGCAGTGTAAGAAGCAGAACTGAAAAGGAAGAAGCTTAGAAGCTGTTGGGTGCTGTTAGAAGTTGTAGGGAGCTGTTGGTTTTCCTGGAGGAGCTTGTCACACTGGCTTTCCTGATGAACTTGGCTGTTCTCTTTGTCCAAGGAGCTTAGGACCTTACTGTCACTGAGAATGGCTTTGGTTCACTCAGGGGAGCTCTGGCCCTCACTTTGAGCATCGCTCCCTGGTTCTAGCGGGGACGATGGTGCACTGCTCAGGCTCCTGGAGAAACTTGTTGCATTGACTTTCCTGATAGGAACTCAGCTTTGCTCATCATCTGAGGAGCTTGGGATCTCGTTGTTGCTGGGGATGGCTGTAGTACTTTTGTGGGGAGCTCTCGTTCTCACTTTGAGCATTGATTCCTGGCTCTAGTGCAGATCCCTCAGCCTGCTAACACAGATTCTTCATTCCGCTGGCACAGACTTTGTAGATTCCACCACTGACCTTTGGGCCTTCCCAGTGCAGATCCATGGAACAGGCCTGCATGAGACATTGTTGTGGGCTCTAGGCCTCCATTTGGATTTGTGGGAGGCATTGTCATGGGCTCTAGGTTTTTAGCTGGACTCATGAAAGACATTATTTGGGATCCAGGCCCTCAGCTAGATTCTTTGGTCTTTAGTGTGTGGACAGATTTTCTGCATTCTTTGTGTCTGTATATGATTCTTTTGGGTGACTAATACAATCTTGTAAAATATGTGTCCTGTATTAAGTTGTTCCCCCTAGTAAACCCCAAAACCACAATAGTATATTAAACCAAGATAGTAATATTTAATAGTGTTCAGGTGGGTGTTTATAATTTCAATGTGTGCAATTTGGAAATTTTATACTCTGAAATATTTCTTAACGTAAAACACTTTAATCAGGGGTAAGCTGAATTTTTTTTAAATTGTACTAGGAGTTGAACCCAGGGCCTTTGCACTGGGCTACCTCCCCTGCCTTTTTAAAAATCTTTTATTTTGAGTCAGGGTTTTGGTAAGTTACCAGCTTGCTCAGGCTGGGCTCCAATGTGTGATCCTCCTGCCTCAGCCTCCCAGAGTACTGGGATTATAGGCATACACCATTGTACCTGGTAAAAAGTAATTTTTTGATAATTAGACTTCATTACTTGGAAAATGCATGCATTTAAAAAATAAAATCTTTTTCATGTGTTGTAGAGCAAAACTAGTGTCTCTCATTGATATTCTCTGACACTTTCATCCCTGGTTTGAATTGTGTGAATTCCAGTTCTCTGTGGAGACTAACCTCTTCCCACTGCCCCTTATGCTCTTCAGGCTGTTTAAATTTTAGTTATTACTAGGGCCTGTCACTCACATAAACAACTGTTCTAAGACTTTAGGTTGGGGAAATAAGATGTGGAGCCCTGTTCTGGCAGACCTGGCCAGATTGCCTGTTGGAGGAGCAGTGACATGAATGGTGCCTGAAGAATAGGCGTGGGAATCTGGGTTCTGCACAGGTCTGTTAGCTGGTAAGGGTGTTAATGCATCCTCTACTTGCTCAAACTCTGCTTTTGAAATCACCTGAATTGGTGTGTGTGATAACTGTCTACAAACCTGACATGATTTATGGGAAGTCTGATTGGCAAAGACAAGTTACGCATTGTGGCCAGCAGTTGTGTGGTACCCCCAGGTCCCACACTCTTAAGATAAGTGGAGTTTAAACCAGGTGATTGATGATAAACTGCGTTTCCTGCCTGCATGGTATTTTCTAACATTAATACATTTGCTCAGACCCAGGAAATGGAATAGGCACAAGACAGTGATCACAAAACAGGCATATTTAATTTAGCATGTAAAAACAAAGGACAACCTCATATTCACAGTACAGTGACTTGTTTTTCTAACCCTTTCCTCTCAAAGAAAGCCTTTTCTCTTAGAGAATGAAAGGTTTACTTGTTTCTAAACTTGACTTGTGGTCCTGCTGTTAACATACACCCTGACTTGGATTTCCTGGGTGAGGCCATCTCTAAGATGTCAGATTTAGAAACTAACCTTCAAAAGAATGAAGAATTTTCTGTTGTATTTTCAAACAGCCAACCCTTTGCTTAAGACAGGTACTAAGCAAATACTGAGGATTATTTTGCCACAAAACTGGCTGTCTAAGAAATGCTGATTTGTAGCTATTCTATTTCTTTCAGAATTTAAAAGAACCAAATGACTGTTTTACTTGTAACTGTTGGATTTACCAGTTGGCTAAGAGAGTTCTAACTTTTAAAATTAGGTTTGTCCATGCACTTATTTTCCTAGAAATAAGAACAGTTATGTTGATTTTTAGAAGAACTTGGAGGCCACAGACTTAGACACATTCAATGATACTGCTTTAAAGAATGGTAGATCTTATTGCTTTTGTATCAATAAGTAATCCTTTAAAAACTGTAGACAATATATGAAAAGAAAAGCAAAAATAACACTTAGCTCTCACAACCCAGAAAAAAAATTGTCATTAACAAAGGAACAATTCCAAGTAACACTTTAGGAAAATGTATATCCTCAGTGATTAATTTAGGGGCCCATATAATATTTATAACTGGGTTCCTTTTATTAATTATTGACATGTTTTCTAAAGTAGACTTTAAACAGTGGTGGATCAAGAATATTAATATATCATTATTGCCAGGTGGTTTGATATAGACATAATTTAAAAAGCCTCTAACTTTTCCATGTATGTAGGATTTATGGTAATGCACTCTTCTAAAATTTAAGGTAAAATATGAAATGTATATATTAGCAACGGTAAATGTTTATTCAAAGTATTTTTAGATATAAAGTAATCTAGTCCTGAGAACTACTTACTGTAATCTATCTTGAGCTTTCCATTTTCCATAGTTTAAGTCATACAAATGTCATTTTAGGGTTAAAGAGATGTCATTAGTTTTCCTTTTTTTTTCCCACTAACTCTCAGGTGTCATCTTTTTTTCTGAAAGGGGTGAAATGTGCCTTATTTGGTCCCTAGGGACACAGTGCACCACGGTAAGTACATGGTAGAAATGGTAGATTAGACTGAGAGGGTTTCTGGGGGCCTGGCTGACTTAGGCGGAAGATCTGCAACTGTGGTCAAGTCTTTTCAGATCCTAGGCCTTAGCTCTCTGAAATACCACTATGTAGTATGGAAGAGAACAGACTAGAGCTGAAGAAGCCACCTGTATCTGAAACTGCTACACGTTGAGTCAGTGGCCTTGGACAAGTTAATAGTGTTAGAGAAAACAGACCAGACAGGAAGAAATGGCACTGAGAAGGTTAAGGAGGCTGTTCTTCCACCTCTTTCTCAGTTCACAAAACCCTTTTGAGTGTTGTGAAGTAGCTGGGTGGCATTCATGGCAGCAAAGCCATCAAGATTTTGGATTTTTCTTCCAGTGTTGAAGGCAGACTTGGCAACAAAGGCAGCACTGGCCATCTGTTGATTTTGAGGCACCTATGGGTTAAAGCGTGTATGGACACGGTAGGCTTCACAGAGTCATAAAATTTGGCAGGACTTTCATTGGGTTCTTGAATAACTTCTGTAATCTTAAGACATGTTTATTGGCTTTTTGCCTCTTTGAGCCCCACAAGGAGGGCTATGTGCTACTGATCTAAGGCCTCATGGCTTTCTGCCTTATTACACTCCCAGCTTGGATGTGCTCAGAGAATTGTGTTCACCCAGGCATCAGGATCAACCACTGTGGTGTGGGCCCTGTCTAGAATGTGATGGCATTCTTCAGTATTAAACAGGGTCAGAAGTTGCTGCTGATAATCATCCCATGTTGGCAGGTAGATCTGGAAGATGGATGTAGAGAGGTCAGTCATTGCTTGGGGCTTCTCTGAGTACGATGGATTGCGGTGCTTCCAATTCAGCAGGTCAGTGGAACTGAGTGGCTGATAATACATCAAAGGTGGTTGGTTGGCTGCGACACCCTGGGCTGTGGGGTAGACACAAGCGGCAGCTGGAGGTTTGAGCTGAGTGACAGAACAGAGCTAGTGGCTGATAGGGCTGTCAGTGCTTCTGTCCATTTTGACA